CTGTTCACCCGAAGCGACTTAAATTTTTCAGCATTTCCAGACATTGGATTCTAATGGTGCATTTTGGATGTTTGTAACGTGAGTACATTGGATTTTGGATAAGAAGAGCGTGCTCTCTGCCCTCTCACACCGCCAAAAAATCCACCCATAGTCGCCCATTTGGAGGATGTGAGCTCGTATTTCGTAGATTCAGGTGAAAATCAATGGAATCGTGAACGGAATTGCGGAGGAGCTCCACTCCATTATCTCATTACAGCGTGTCGACAGAGGAAACACACCCGAATCGCGTCACTCAGCTAGAGCTCAGAGCTTTTGCTGTGACACAGAGAGAGAAAAAAAGTGCTGTCCCAAGTGTTGAAAGCAGAAATTATCTGCCTTGTAGCATTGTTTGCTGATACGCTTCTCCACACCTTCTGCAGCCCCCCAAGCAGACAATCTTGTGTGATTAATTAGGCTGTCGTGTAATCTGAACATTCAATAATGTTGTCATTCAATTAATACATAAACAAATTCGTTCATTATTTGATGGGTATCAAATTGAGGAGGAGGGAATGCCAAGTGGACGGTTTAATTAAAATAAATTGTCAATTGTTCATTATAGATTGCTTACACTCCATAACAGTCGACCAATCTTATCACACCCCCGAAAAGCGATATTAATTGCCAGAACAATTTATATTAATCCCTCGAGTTTCCTCGAATTTCTACCACTACTTAAGGTGCCGCCCTGTCAATTTTCTCCCCTGTTCATCGCTCAAATGTCACAGGGCTGCTCATTGAATATGCAAGATGATTTAAATTGTGTCAAGCTCACTGAAGTTTGTCATGCATTTTTGATTATTAGTTGTGCTAATAATAGAACATATAGAGAGGAAGCGTAAAATCTAATGGTATATCAATAAAAGGGTTTTTCTACACTTGTAGTCAGTGAAATACAGCACACAGTTGAAGAAGGTTTCTGAAAAAATGTCAATCTTTTTCTCGTGTGCTTTAATTTTGGATCCCAAAAATTAAATCAAGGCTCTCGGCTGCTCAAGAGTCCGTAGTTTTCCACTCAGGGAAATGAGAGTTGCCTGAAGAGTGTTGTAATAATCGACAGCCTTTGGCTGTATAGTGGCAAAGTGTATTTAAGGGAGCAGCTGCGAAACTCTTCACTATAGCCAAATGAAGGAGGCTCTCTTGTTTTACAAAAGACGCTAATTCCCTTGCGATAGAGCATCATTTGGGACGGAGGTCAGCGGATGGGAGACTTAGGCTCTTGGGATGCGCTGCCGTTGGTAGGCGCAAAAATTCCTCGGAAATGCGTGTGCTTTGGAATTTATGAAAATGCGTGAATGAAGGGAATTTGCTGGAAGACGGCGAATCATTTAATTAAAAAGTTTCTCTCCACTCACTATCATAACTTTTATCACAAGGCGAGGTGCGGAATGGAAAAAAATTCAACATTGAAAGAAGACTCATATTGACTGTGTGTAAAACTTTATGTGTAACTTTCAATAGGAAGCAAGTGATGTAAATTGAATTTTTTGTCTTCTCGCAGAGGATTTGTAGGTCGGGTGTGGGGTGAGGGAGGGTGCACAATGGCGGGCGTGCGGCGGGAATATCTTCACGACCCTCCGAGGAGCTCAAGTGAAAACGGAAGGAAGGAAAAAGTATCGGTGACAATAGGAATTTTGCTTAATCTTTCATAAAACATTCGCACAGTTTTTTTCTGCCTCTCCGCCACGGGCACGAGAGGAAAAAGCCCCAATACCAGCGGAGCTCCATGGCAATTCATACAGCAATAATCACATTAGGGCGAGGCCCGAGGTGTGGACAGGACGCGGGGTGGGAATCGTAAAAATCAATCAGTGAAAAAATTGAACAGCCTCTTGATGGTGAGTGAGAGAGGCAAAAGAAAATTCTTACCCTCCATATTCATCCAATCAAATTGTGTCCAGAGTGGCGCTTTTTCCCAGCTGCCAACTTTATGGTCGGGGCCCTTGGCGAAAAAGCTCCATGATTTTACAGCAACAAGCACCTCTTTGCAAAAGGGGGGGCGCCCTGAAAGGCGCCTCGCCACCCTCTTCATCGGGAAAACATACGCATTGAATTGCTGTGGCAACAGTTGAAGCACTTTGATGTTCCACACCCCCTCGGAGCCCCCGCACAATTGTTACCACTGACTGGGAGAAGGGATAAAGAGATTCTCACATAAATTCAGGCGGGAAGCTCTGTCGGGTGGGCGAGGGTGGAAATCACATGAAAAAAGATCCCCACAGTTTTCCATTAGACACACGTATAGGCAGGGTATAAAACATGCTCGGCTCTAGGACTCTTTTCATCAGGCACGCAAGCTGCCAAGGCCGGGGTGGCCCCAGCTGAGGAGGTGGCGAAAGGGAGAAGAAATTAAATTTCATATATATGAATCTTTATTAATGAGACGAGACTTCATTTTGGACACTGACGGTAAATTACGTGTGCGAGAGGAGAGATTGAGAGAGATAAGACTCGCCCCTTGACATCTGCAGCAATAAGGATAAGCAGGGAAGATTGATTATGGCAATGCGAGCATTGGAAATGCATTTTACATGTCGTAAATTCAACAGGAGGCTCACATGATGGGTAATTTGTGTCACAACAAATTTATTTTCGGTCATGGCGCTACACTTTGTCTACGATGTTATCTGCTATGCCTCATCAAAGTTATATAAAATTTATGAAGCTTTGCATCACTGACCCAAAATTGTGAGCATCCATTCAATACTAGTCCTAGTCAGTAAGTAAAATATTGCCATCGGCCATTATTTTGTAATACATTTGTTTGCAAAATGTTCTTTATTATTTTTATGTCACAAAAAAATCATATTTCAAGTCTTTCGAGCCAGAAAAATTGTTCAGTGTCCCTTTCAGTAATTCCGAGAATCTTATACTGCCATCAGACATGTTATAGGAATATTCCTATTTATATCCTAAGACCATATATGATTGTCTGATGAAATTCTGATGGATTCCAAAGTTCACTTCAAGATAATCCCACACAAATTCATAACAATTGCAAAGTATGTACTCCGCAATGCTTTAGCTTTTAAATAGCTTATTACAACACCGAATTTTCCACTTCATCGCCAGAGCACACATTTTCTTAAACACGTATTCAAATCATTTTGCTACCTGGGCAGGAAATAATATAGTAATTCTATGCAGAGTCATGCTTTCCCACTAATTATAAAATATTTGCGTGTGTTTTGTAAGTAAACCATGAAAAACATGTTCCGGAGGAGTGAATTTCGCACATTCCTTCTAATTAACACAAAAATGAATTTGCAGCAATTTGCTGCTCACATTGGTTAATTCCGCAGGAATATTGCAATAAAGATAAGAAACATTGTTGGACACGGCAAAATGGAATCATATAAAACAATCATGTTTACACCTCACTTTCGAGATGGAGGAAATAAAACCACTGCACTTTTTGCACAAGAAATTGTGCAGCCAAAGTGCAGGAAATTGCGGTTCAAGTCGGAAAAGTTTAATAGCGAAAAGTTTTGGGGCAAATTTGTAAATTTCCGCAGAATTAATGCAACTTGGCACTGTCTCACCTGAGGCCAATTTTGTTGCAGATGGAACTCTCTGAACGGCGCAAAAATACAACAATTCTCACATGTGGTAACACTGCAATCCTTTCTATCGCGAAGCTGAAGGGCATTTCAAAGTGAATTCCGCGAATTCTGGCATTTAGCAATTGCACACAAATTCTTCTCAATTCGCTCTTTCTGCACTTTTTGCGCTCTTTCAGGGAACGGCATAAAAAAGCCATTTCGACAAACCCAAAAGTAAATAAATTAAGTCAAAGGGGAAATTTAATCGATAGAAGTTTTGTGCGATAAATTTACGTGAAATATCATTGAGTGGAATCAAGAGAAGGACCAGCAGAGAAACAATAAAAGTCTCAATAAATATTCGTAATGGGCTGGAGAGTAGAAACTTATATTGACTTTTGATATGGCCAAGATATACCTTTGCGATATTTGGTATCGTTTAAAGTTTCACTGCGTCCAATATTTTCTCGAATGTGCCTTTTGTGCTCCTTCGCATTACGCTCAAATATCAGAATTGAAGGCATATTTTTCTTATGGTTCAAAAGCTTTTGGGAATTTTCCAATACGTGAATCTGTGTATTTCGTTGATTTCCCTTAGGAATTTTCTTGTTTCATTTTTTTACGAATATTCTAACATCTCAGTAATTATTTGACATTCAAAAAATGAAAGCTCGGAAAGCTCTGTAAATAAAGTGTATATTTTAACAGCATTTTATGCAGCTTGAAAGATTTCGCTTGAAGTAATTCACCACAATGCACATAAGAAGCTTAAATTGTGGATATTTTTAATCTAAATTTCTGTTTCAGTTTTAATTAAAAATATTCATACACTCTCACTTGATATGAATGTTACAGCAATTCTAGGAATAAACAACAAGTCGTCACTTTTTGTGAACAAAAGACTTTCATCACTTCACATTTGAAGCACATTCAGTTGCATGAAGTTCTCATAAATGCTGTTTTTTATCGGAAGCAAAAAACTGTGATAACTTTTCGATCAGAAATGAATAAAGTCACCACCAGAAATCACAGTGTGGCTCTTTGCAACTTCCGAATAAATCGCTGACACTCGTATTATTTGTGATATTTGATATCAATGGCAACACTTTAGCCACTCTGATTGCTTCCTAAGAACTCACAGATATTGCCAACATGTATGGCAAGCGCAACTCTGGTCGTGGCCTCTAGAATTTCATGCACGGCCGCAACCGCATCTCTGGGCACACAATGCTTTGGTGTCACGTTTCACGTGCGACTCTTCGCCGGATGGATTTCCTGGACACACACACACACGAGGAATATCGTGTCCCCAAGGATGGGCAAAGCGGCGAATTTATAATTGCGATTGCGCACTCATCATAGTGTGCCTTATCGGCCAGAACCATAAACTTTCCAACCGTCATGAGAAGCATTTGCATCATCGGCGCTTCGCCAGTTCAGTTGCATCGCGACCACCTGAGAGCCTAGCTGAGAAGTTCTTCTCCTGGTGAAAAGAGTGTGAGTCAGTCTGTGTGGTTCTGTGCACACTTTTGGATGTACTGTGAACACTTGAGCGTGAAATATTCATCAAATTGTGCCAATTGCGACGATCACGCGTCCTGAGCGACACTTTCAGCGCCAGCAACGGTCTACGAGGAATACTTAAGCCTTAATGTGTAATTTATGATTATTATTTTATATACGTTCCATCTATTTTCATAACTTTCGCCCTCGTTAAAAATACCCTCCCGTCCACTTCGTTCTGGCCATTAACCAGAGACCCAAAGAGAATCTCACGGCGGTGAGAGTGGATTTTTCCTTACTTAATTGGTTGGTTGTTTATTGAAGACATTACCCTCCCCGCGTGCGTATCACCAGCGCAACATAAAAGGGTGCCTTTTCATCGCAGTTTTGGGCGATGGAAAATTAGCGCCACACCGAGTGGATTGAGAAGCCGTTACGAAGATCGCCTGAAAACACTCCCGAAAAAGCTCTTGAGCTCTTCTCCCTCGGCATTTCCTTGAATTTATATTGGCGTTAATGGCGGGAAATTTTACGCAACATTTTCCAATGATGCCAGTCCGCCCATTCGACATGATCACACACACACACCCCACCGATATGCCTCAACAGGTGGCTCGCAGCGTTCCTTCTGTGCGCAAAATATCCTATAAAAGTCCCTAATGCGTCACAATGAGAACCGCGTATTTCCGCATCATCGCCAGGAGTTTGTCCGTTTGAATAAAGGCGTCCCGCTGACAGCAACAGAACGAAATGTGCATTGCACAGTACATGAATATGTGCTAATTATAGTGATGAATATAGCAGGTGTTATGCAACATGAGACCTGTGGCTGCTAACTGTGTTTGCATTATTGGTAATTTATATTTATTATCCAGTATTCAGACAATTTTGTAGTGCATGGAAATATGAGCGAACCAATTACCTTTGACAAAGTTCGACAATATTGCAAAATGATAATTTTCCAGAAAATTTAGTTTAATCGTAACCCATTTCCAAGGAAATGAATGCCATCAGCTTCTCGACTATAATGTGTAACAAATGAAATTGCGTCACATTCTGTTTTGTGCTCAATAAACTGCAACTAATCATATGAGCAGATTATAATTGTTGTAAGCCGATTGTCCGGGTTTCTCTAATGCGGAGGAATTCAATCAAATTGGATAAATTTGTCACATTCTTTTGTCTCTGCTATGTTGGATTTAATTGAAAATGTTTAGTGACAAGTATATAGCAAGATTCTTCACTTAATTGCATAGCATTCTCATATCTTTATAAGGGTATTTTGGCTTTTCGTAACATTTTTGACGTTTTTATCTCCACGGAGTATTTAAATAGGGAGTGGCTTTCAAGTGGGCGAGATTTTGAGAATTCTACTGTGCAAAAGAAATTGTAAATTTCATAAAGCACATCACATAACAATTGAATAAAGAAAATTTAGTTCTTTTTCTCATTTCTACAGTATTACTGAAAAATCCTTAATTCACTACTTCTGATAATACAATGGTTTCTATGACAACATGAAATTAGTTGCATCTCTGTCTATTATTGTCTTTCCTGGAAAGTAACTTTCTTTTTTTTTCCATCAAGAACTCTTTCCTAGAAAGCATCTGAGGTCGTTGTCATGATCGGATATCGGATATTAATCTGTGCCATTGTTTGACTAACAAACAAACACACACTGATTCATGTGCACATAAAATGCTGTTTAATGTGTGATAAGGTGAGCAGGGAATAAGGAATTTCCCTGTATTTCAGTGGACGCGTTTTTCTTTTAAATATATCATTCATAGTGAATGAAGAAGCTTTTGAGATGCAGTATTCAAAAGAATAAATTGGCGTATTCCCAATGATTTATTAATTACATGCCACTATCCTCGAGAGAGGCACTCAGAAAATCCCTTTCTCATTTGGACTTTGGCTAGGAACTTCCACGACTGACCCTCTCAGCTTTGCTGAGGATGTAAATAAGACTTCAACCCGCCACATTCACTCGTCTCGGCGAGTTATTTCAGTTTGTTTTGGTGAGTAAATACCGAGCGGAGAAGAAATGCGAAGTGAGTTGGAGTTGTTGAATGCTGAAAACTTGCTAACGATGTGGGAAATATGTTGCAAAGCCACGTGATTGAGCCCTCGTGTGCCGCCTTTCCAATCCTTCCCAAACAACTATTGTGCACCCATTTTCCATTACATGATATTCTGTATTAAATTCCATTGCGTAACACTCCCACCCATGGAAAGAGGCGACTCGCACGGTGAGGAAACTGTTTGAGTTTGAAATACAGAGGAGAAAGAGAGATTTTGCAATGAAAGCAGTATTGAGGGGTTATCTCGGAAAAACTATAGCATATTTTCTTTGTTTTTTTTTTAAATTTTTCAAAAGTAAGCTGAGATTTTATTTAGAATTTAGCAAGAGGATGAAGAAGATGCTAGAAAAGCAATCATTTATAATAAGAAAGACTAGCACAATAAAATTGAAGCTGCACGACTTCTGTTACAATTTTAGAAACAATCTAGAAGTCTTCGATAAACATGATGAAAAACATGTAATTTTATATCTGGCTTCAAATTCACCTACAATTTATTTTTCACGACATACAGAGATCTTCTGAGAATTGCAAAATTGGATGAAAAGAAACTTTTCTATAGCTAAAAAATTCAACAGAAGTATTTGTCAACCAGGCGTCTCCACTGGTTGAGATGGGGACGCCTGGTGATTTAACTCTCATGCCGTTCAGTGATATTTATTCCATCAAAAACACATCTTTGCGCCAAATATTGCTTGAGTTCATGCGGTAAAAGTATTTGACCATTGCTTTTCACTGTGAAGGTCGCGCATTAGTATTCCACTGCAGGATCTTCTGTGATGTTCGACGAGGAGGTCTGTTGAAGTGCACGGGGTATTTGAATGTCGATTTTGCGATTGAGCGCTCACAGGCAAAGGACGCGAAATCCTTGTGATGGCTCTCGATGACGGCGTCTTGAGTCATCGTATTGAGAGTGATTGAAGGATGAAAAATGCAGCAAAGAATCCCCAAGTGGCCACACAAAAGGGCATCCGAGAGGGAAATTGCAGAGATTGTCACAATGAAGAGGCGCAGCGCCTCAAGAGATGCCCTCAAGTGCAGATGTGCTTTCCCCCCATCTTCCACATGTCCCCACACCACATATTGATTTTTTTTTCACTGCCAGGACTTGCCCATGTGTGATTATGCAACAATGCCTGAATGCCATCGCGATGTCCTTTCAGGATACACGCCAGAGTGCCAATGACAGCGCTAAAGCACTGACGGAGAAGGAACAATGCCCATGGACGGTGACACAGACTTAAACTACTTCTTGCTCAATCGGACCTTCGAGTCATGTGCCCTCAAGTATGAGGACTTCACCATGCCCGTGACAGGTGAGTGCGGAAGAAAAGGCCGCCCAAAACATTAATTTACCAACACGAGCGACATCCTTAATTCAGCATCTTTGCATTTATCTGATAAGAGACAGAGGCAATTTCCTTCTGAGAATGCCTCGAGATTGTGATGAGATTTCTCTTCTCAGCACACTTTGGATGTAATCCGGTTTTTGTCAAAGCACAGATACACAAGAAATTCACCTTCACAGTGAATTACAGGAGTTTTGTCAGAGAAGAAAGGATGATTACGTAGAAAATACTTCTTTGAGATTTTGGCTTTTGTAGCGAAAATAATGAGTCATTTTAATTGAAGACACTCTCTAGGGAAAAAGCGTTCCAATAAAAACACATCATAAGCCATCATTCTTTCAGCTTCTTATTGCAATTGGACGTGGGATAGCGTTCTATGCTGGCCACCAACGCCAGCGGGCACAATCGTGAGACAGAAGTGTCCCTTGCGCCACGGCCTGGACCCAAGCAGTAAGCGAAATTGTGATTTCCCATTCATTCATTCACGAGCGCCCTAATGACTCTCTCTCTCAATGATGTCAATCAATGGGAATGTTTAATCTTCCTCTGTCACAAAAATTCAACACACTCTTTGACTCTTTCCATCAATATGGAAATACAATTTCCACCATTAATCATCATCAAAAGCTGTGCTGTCGTGAAAATCATCTCAATTGTAGGATACGCCGAGCGGCGGTGCAGCGTAAGAGGCGAGTGGATAGGAAGGAATGGCTCTTCGGACATCCAGAATTACACTGGATGGACCAACTATACGCCTTGCTACACGCCGGAAATGCAGCATATCATGAATATGCTCTACCTCAACGGAAACACCGCCAAGGTGAGTCGATCGCAGTTTTACGGATCGTAGGATTCATCACTGAGCATCGTATTTCGTCAACATCTTGATTATTCATGCGAAAATTCAATTCGCATAAGTAAAAGTTGCATGAGAAAAAAACCCGATGTGAAAATGACTTGAATGGCTGAATGCATATAAAACTTCCTGAGCAGAAAATAGCCAAGATTAAAGTACTTGTGAATAACCAATAAAGAGAAGAAGATCATTTCTTATTGATGAATTTATAGTTTGTTTTCTAAAGAAGCCTAATATCTTTTGTGTGTTAAGAAACTTTCTTTCAATTGAGCTCATATTCAAAGTATTCAATTATAATTTTAACAAAAAGGACAAAAGGACTATGAAACTATAAAATTGGTGCTTGGAAATTGAATTTTATATTGCAGGATAAATTCAATATTGCCGAGCGAACGCGCGTGCTGGAAATTGTGGGCTTCAGCATTTCCTTAGCTGCCCTCATTCTCTCCCTGGTCATCTTCTTGCGCTTCCGCAGTCTCCGCAACAATCGCACGCGCATCCACAAGAACCTCTTCGTGGCGATGGTCATCCAAGTGCTGATCCGCCTCATTCTCTACATCGACCAGGCCGTCATTCGCGCGTACAACGACGGCTCAGTCGCCCGCCATGGAATCGACAACACGGTATATTGAAAGCCCATAGTCCTCATGAAGAATGCATGCAAGAACCTCTGAACGCCGTATGATTAATTTTTGAGAAATATTCCCACATTGAACTTGAGCCAGAAGTTTCCAATTCTTCGCCCCTTCTATATTTAATCACCCAAACACAGCACACCAGCGATGCGAGAAATTTGTGCAGACTTCAGCAGAAAATCCTGGCCAAAGTGCGGCAGTAAATACCACAAAGTGTTGGCTTTGCCATCACGAAGAGGCCCCTCAACATCCCCAAATAGGAGAGAATTATGCCCCAATTTTTGAATTATTAAGTACACTCTCTCCGGGATGCTCCATGAGTGGCCACACAGGTCACGTTTTTATCATCTCCACTGCCTTTTCAGCTGTTTTGACCATAAAATACTCTCATGGCCCGATGGGTTTGGATATTGCGATGAAACTTTAATATTGCTCGTATCTATAAAATGCTCACTCCGCCTCCCCTTTTCCTGCACTCACATTCTTCAAGAGGGCACACATTGATTTTGCAACCTTTCACGCGCTCTTCCAGCACGGATTTTTCCACTTTGGCCACTCTTATCTGCACACGTTCCGGTGACTCGAGCACCGAAGAGTGTGCAATTGATGGACAGCAGAGCCAACAAGCATTTTCTGCATACTTTCAGCCCCTTCTCTGTGAGGCTTGTTACGTCCTGCTGGAGTACGCCAGGACAGCCATGTTCATGTGGATGTTCATCGAGGGCCTGTATCTGCACAACATGGTGACCGTGACTGTGTTCCAAGTACGCTTTCCCTTCTTCACCTACATCGTCCTCGGCTGGGGCGGACCAATCTTCCTCACCGCCATCTGGGGCACAATCACGGCCAAGTATCAGGCCCATCAGCAGTGCTGGTGGGGCTACAATCTCACCTACTACTACTGGATCCTCGAGGGACCACGACTCACTGTCATCCTGGTACCCCTCGCCGCCCTTTTCTCTCTCTCTCTCCCTTCTTCACCACTAACTTCTTTGCGCTCCTTTGCAGCTCAACTTCTGCTTCCTGCTCAACATCATCCGCGTGCTGGTGGTTAAACTCCGCCAATCGCAGACCAGCGACATCGAGCAGGTGCGTAAGGCCGTGCGGGCGGCTGTGGTCCTCCTGCCATTGCTCGGCATCACCAACATACTGTCCATGACGGCGGAGCCGCTGAAGAAGTCCGTCCTGGAGTTCGCGCTCTGGTCCTACACCACCCACTTCCTCACGTCCTTCCAGGGCTTCTTCATTGCACTGCTGTACTGCTTCCTCAACGGCGAAGTGCGCTCGGCCCTGCTGAAGAGCTTCCGCGCCTACATTGACTACCACGGCGTGTGGAACACGCAGCAGCCGCGACGGCAGTCCTTCTACAGCGTGGCCTACACGCCAGCCATGGCGTAATTACCATCAGAACTCTCAGTGCGATGTCAGGATAATGTTATACAATTTTACACGAAAATAGAGGATTTTTCGCGCATTCTCATCTTATTGGGTACTCTAATGGGCGATGCATACGATTGGGCGTGATTTTTTCGCTCACTGAATATTTCGCTTTATAGGAGCAACTGGAACGTTCTTTAAAATCGAACTTGAGTCAAGATTTCTAGTTAGATTGTCTTCAAAAACAGCACAGAAATTATTTTCTCTACTGTAGAATGAGTAAAAAACCGAAAATATCCTGATATTCATTGAATTCACTAGGAAAAATTACAGTATAATCACCTTAAAACTAAAGTAGGCTATTTATAGAAGGAAAGTACGTCAAAACTCAATTATCCTACCTTAAGCAATATCCCTGTTCCCACTAAACCAACTTTATCTACTCATAGAGAGTCCAATTCCGGCGGCAGAGGAATTTTCTGGGCGATGGCAAACTTCCGCAGAGCCTCGAACTTGTTCTTCCACGTCTCGACGTCCTCTCTGATCTTCCTGTTGTTCTCCTGCATGATCTCCATGTCGTTCCACTCCTGCGACTTCTCCGTCTCCAGTTCATCCTTCTGCTCAATCCTCTTGATCCGACAGCTGGCAGCGTAGCCGCGATTCTTCAGCGTCCGCCGCCGCTGTTTCATCCGCACGATCTCCTCGCGCGTCAATCCGCGCAGCTTCAGCGTCCTGTTGAGGTCTCGCACGGAGATGGAGACCAGCTCGTCGTCACTGATGTCCGGAATGGGGCAGGGCGACAGCGGGGCCTGCAAGAGGGAGACTCTCTGCTGAGTCTTCAGCAAACTCTTCCTTCTCCTCAATCTGCATACCTGAGCCCCCTTGCGCTCTCTCTTCGACTCCTGTGGCATCATGGGGGCAGTTCACGGCCTTCCCAGCGTCCTCCAGAGACTCTTGCTTGTCTGCAAAGTGGCAAAAAGGGAGGAGTTTTAGGCAATGAAAAAAGTGCAAGTCATTTTGCGTATAAAGACGCTCTCTTTCTCACCTTGATTTTGGTATATTCAGTGCAAAATCCCTTTGCACAACGATGGTAGACCAAATTAAAGTACTTATAAGTATATTGGTTGAGAAATCAGGGGAAAAATGATGAAATTCACTGGATTTTTGCGGAAAACTCTGCAGAGTAAACACGCAATTTGACAATCAAAACAGGCTGAAATGTTAATGAAAAAAGTACTAGAATAACTGTCACAATTTCACTGCCAATGTTTTTGTTTTGATTCTGGCGCTTTTTCATAACAATTGAGGAAATTGATCAAACATTCGGTGCGGAATCCTTCCATCCTGTTCACCGAATGCAATGGACAAGCCCCAGATAGTGGAGTTCCTATCCCAGTCTGTCAATTACTCCGTCTTCGATGTGAAATGGATTCCACGGACGGCAAAGTTTGTCGTCGCCGGCTCGAGGCCACAGGGCTCAGGAGTTCTGCAAGTGTACGAATTGGAGGAGAACACACTGCAGCTGAGACATGAGATCAGCCAGGACAAGTCTCTCAAGTGCTGTTCGTTCGGCGCCTCTCGTATTCGCAACAATCACGTGGCTGTTGGGGACTTTGCCGGGAATCTCTCAGTGCTGGACGTGGAACGTCCGGAAAGCCCTCTGTATGCCGTGAAGGCACACTCGAGCATCATCAACAGCTTGGACGCCATCGGTGGGGCTCAGGTGAATTGTGGTGCCCCGGAAATCGTAACTGGAAGCCGTGACGGAAGCGTGAAAGTCTGGGATACGCGGCAGAAAGACTCACCAGTGGCTTGTGTGTCCGGGAATTCAGATTCTGGGGGCAGAGATTGCTGGGCCGTGGCCTTTGGGAACTCCTTCAACAACAGCGACAGATGTGTGGTGGCGGGATATGACAATGGAGACCTCAAGATGATAGATCTCCGGAAGATGCTCCAGCGTTGGGAGACGAATCTCGGGAACGGAGTTTGCGGAGTGGAGTTCGATCGGAATGACATCGAGATGAACAAACTAGCTGTGACGACACTGGAGGGCGGTCTGTTCGTGTACGATGTAAGGACGCAGCATCCCAAGAAGGGCTTCGCGTGTGTCGTTGAGAAGGACGCCGGACGATCTCTGGGCAGCTGTGGCACCATCAGTGGCGCCAAGAGCACCGTTTGGACGGTGAAGCATCTGCCGCAGAACCGCGACGTCTTTGTCTCATGCGGCGGCAGCGGATCGATCAGGCTGTGGCATTAGTGAGTCCTGAATCTCTGCTAGATTAATTTTTTGCTGATCTTTGCGTTCACCTTTACAGTGAGTATCCGGACAAGAGAACGAAGCCTTTGCCTGACGGCACGGAGGCTGGCGTCGAAGGGAATCTGCAGATGCTCTGCTCGTCAGTGATCTCTTCCCAGCCTGTTCACTGCTTTGACTGGTGTACAGACTTGATCGGATTAGCCGTTTGTGGAGCCTTCGATCAGACAGTCAGAGTCCTGATCTCTACCAAATTGAACTTGTATTAGAACTACAAACAACAAGTTATAAATGAATTAACTGAGAAATTGCATTTTTTTTTATATACGCATAATTATCATTGATTTGTGTTCGAGAAAAACTCGAGAAGAATCGGAGATAAAAATGCGTTGATCAACAAGGTATCATTCAATATCCTGCCCAACTTCCATTTCTCAAATTCCAGCCATTCGGCTTATCTGAAAAGAAAGATCATCCGGAAGCATCAATCTATCATTCAGCAATTCATTCTCTGATGTTGATGATCTTAAGTAAAATACAATCTTATATTCTTCGTGATTTATATTCTGTGTACAATTCACATTTACAATTTTCACTTACAAAATAACATTGCTAGTCTTGTAAGATTAGTCGAAGTCAATTTCTCAATGACCCAATTAAGGTCAAGACAAGAATTGGTTGTAGCGGCAATTAGATTAAATTTGTAACATTCAAGTTACGATTACCAAAATAATTTGCATCAACGTTATTACTAATAAAATGCTCTGCCAATTATTCCTGATCATTAGAAAGTTTGTTACCAAGTAACAGTAAGGTTAAGTTAAGTTTACTAAAATAGTAAACATTATTACTAATCATTTGCTCTGCCAATTATTCCTGATCAATTTAAACTTTTGTTACCAAGTAACACTAAGATTAAGTTCACCAAAATAGTAAACATTATTACTAATCATTTGCTCTGCCAATTATTCCTGATCAATTTAAACTTTTGTTACCAAGTAACAGTAAGATTAGGTTAAGTTCACCAAAATAGCAAACATTATTACTAATCATTTGCTCTGCCAATTATTCCTGATCATTAAAATGTTTGGTTACCACCAAGTAACAGTAATGTAAGATAAATATATTTTATCTTACAAATAGTTAATAAACATGTTCCCTCTTCTTCTGATTAATATAATTTTGGTCCTTCGAGCCGGAACTTAGTTAGATCTTTAACTTTAAAAAGTCAATTATATTGATACGTATTTCCTCTCGCATTTTCCAATGTGAAATTTTCAAATAATCAGAAATCAACCATAATTGTTAATCCCCCCTGTCCCTTTTCTTCTCCTGTGAAATCCAGAAGCCGAAGAACTTCGAACCAATTATGGTAATTTCGAGCCGGAAAGTAATTGAATGCATCTCTAGTTATGCGAAGCGCAGATAAAGTGGCGAAACGCCAGATAAATGCCTTCACTTGAAGGATTGCAGAAATGTTAATCTCTGAGTTGCTTCTAACTCCTGAATATGGTGCCAATGAAGCGAGCTGGTTAGCATTTGGTCAGGCAATTCTGAAAAAAATGAAAAATACTGCATTTTCAAGAAATCAAACAGTGCAGGATTTCCTTACCTGAAGTAGCGTTCTTCTCAGAAGATAATATACCATACAATTTTGACAGAATGGCGTCCATTTTGGCAAACCACGAGGCGTCAAATTATATTCTTTGGATCTTTAGACACGATATTCCACTGCAAAAATCAGTTGATAAGCGCCTCAAATCAGTTGCACAGCATCCAGATTACGCAGAAGTCTTCATACATTTGGTATAATCACATTTAATTTTAGATTATGCGCCATTTCTCCATCGCTTTGGCCTTCCGTGACTTTAAAAGCCGTAAAAACCCCAGAAGTCATGTAATTTTAGTATGGATTTCACGTTTCTTGGATATCCTGTTTCTTGCGGTACATTTTCCAACACTTTGCGGTCACAAAAACCACTTCCAGGTAATAAAATTAAGCCATTGCACAGAGATAACACCAACTGCAGTATCCCAATAAGGAGTGAAAGACAAGGGAAAAGCGCTTCGTGCTTTTATAGCCTCGGCAAAGTACTAGAACAAACATGGCTGACGCGTCGATGAATTTTTCACTGCCACAAATTCTATGTTTACATTCAAATTCCTTCACAGTTTTTCACCAATAAAAGTTCTGAGAAAAGTCCTCAACAATTACAAGAAAAACGCTTTTTAAGAAATATTCTCTATTTCAAATCAATTTATAAGCATTTTCACAGGTGAAAATTTTCAAAAATTGCCAATTAATCGAACACAAGAATTACAATTCCGCCAAAACACACAATTAAGTACCCGTTCCTCTTTAATTAAATACTCGCTGCGTGTTGGGGACTCGTTGGGGACAATTTACATAGTTCAATTCATGATAAATACTAAGAAACTCTTGTGTGAAAACGAAATAATAACACCACCGACTCTTAATAGGAGCGAATGGCAGGCGGAACGGAGTCGCACTCGGAGCTCAGCGTGTTGTCAATTACGCCACGGTACTTGATGGTCACCTTTCCCGTCTCCGGATCGCACCACGTGAGCGTGTGCTTGCGCCAGTGTTCCTCCAGGGGCTTCTTCTGCTGCCCTTCGAGGGGTTTGCTGTAATCCTGCAAGGGAGAAAAGGACTGTGATTCTGCATCTTCGCCAAGCGACTTCAATTTTCACTCACGTATTCGTCGATGCGCGTCTTGAAATCCTCCCTGGCATGAGCACCGCGAGATTCCTTCCTGTTCTCTGCCGCCACGATTGTCATCTGCGCATTCAGCAGTAAATTCTGCAACTCCAGCGTCTCCACGAGATCAGAATTCCAAATCAGCGAGCTGTCGAACACTTTCACATCCTTAAAGGACTTGTACACATCCTTCATCTTCTCCACGCCCGCCTGGAGCGTCTCGGCCTCCCGGAACACCGCCGCGTGTGTGTGCATCGTCTTCTGCATCTGCAGTCGCAGCGTCGCCGTCGGAATCGCGCCATTCGCGTGCCTCAGTTCATCCAGATTCGCCACGGAAAACTCTCCAGCGCTCTGGGCAAGGACAATGAGTGACGTTTAGTTGGGGAATTCAAGTACATTCGACGCTACTCACCGCCTTGAGGTCCGGAACTCGGTCGCCCGGTCGATTCTCAGCGGCTATCGTCTTGGCGCACGCTCGGCCAAACACCACCAGATCCAGCAGCGAGTTGGCGCCCAGCCTATTGGCGCCGTGCACCGACGAGCAGCCAGATTCACCGGCGGCGTACAAGCCAGGAACGATCTGGAAGACAACGGGATGAAGTGTCGTTAATTGGGTCGCATTCTTGAGATAAGATAGACGAGAATCATTGCAAATTAATCCTTATTTAATCGCTCTTGTTAAGAGTGAAGCGCGATAAAGAGTGAGATTAGAATGAAAGTGGAAAGAACAAATCGGATTTTTAAGCGTTTCTCTAAGATTTACGACTGAAATATTACAAATGAAATCCTAGTTTTCGCCGTCATATTATGAATTAATATGACGCTCGATTGCAGAGTGATTTCATTCGAGATTTCCCACAAATGTGCGGAGATTTGAGCTAAATCTACAGAGTTCAACTCGCCTTATCATTGCCGTTGCCGTCCGACGTGAGCACTTGACCCTTGTAGTTCGTGGGCACGCCACCCATGTTGTAGTGCACCGTGGGGATGACTGGAATGGGCTCCCGCGTCACGTCCACGCCGGCGAAGATCATGGCCGTCTCCGAGATGCCGGGCAGGCGCGCCGCCAGCTGCTCCGGCGGCAGGTGGTGCAGCTGCAGGTACACGTGGTCCTTGTCCGGGCCCACGCCGCGCCCCTCGCGTATCTCGATGGTCATGGAGCGCGACACGACGTCGCGCGAGGCCAGATCCTTGGCCACCGGCGCGTAGCGCTCCATGAAGCGCTCGCCCTCGGAGTTCACCAGGTAGCCGCCCTCACCGCGGCAGCCCTCGGTGATGAGGCAGCCGGCGCCGTAGATGCCCGTGGGGTGGAACTGCACGAACTCCAGGTCCTGCGACGGGAGCCCCATGCGCGCCACCATGGCCGTGCCGTCGCCCGTGCACGTGTGCGCCGACGTGCAGGAGAAGTAGGCGCGCCCGTAGCCGCCGGTGGCCAGCACGGTGTTCTTGGCGCGGAAGCGGTGAATGGTGCCATCCTCCAGGCACAGCGCGATCACGCCGCAGCACTCGCCGTTCTCCATCAGCAGATCCAGGGCGAAGTACTCCACGAAGTAGTTGCAGTCGTAGCTCAGCGACTGGCCGTAGAGCGTGTGCAGGAGCGAGTGGCCCGTCCTGTCCGCCACGGCGCAACACCTGTGCGCCTGGCCGCCCTTGCCGAACTTCAGACTCTGTCCACCGAAGGCGCGCTGGTAAATCTTGCCGTCCGGCGTCCGCGAGAACGGCATTCCGTAGTTCTCCAGCTCAATGACGGCCTTCGGCGCCTCTCTGGTCATGTAGTGAATGGCATCCTGGTCGCCCAGCCAGTCTGAGCCCTTCACCGTGTCGTACATGTGCCACTTCCAGTTGTCCTCCTCCATGTTGCCCAGCGCCGCGTTGATTCCGCCCTGCGCGGCGATCGTGTGGCTCCGCGTGGGGAAGAGCTTCGTCACCACGGCCGTCTTGAAGCCCTCCGCCACCAGGCCGAAGGCCGCTCGCAATCCCGCGCCGCCGGCGCCCACAACCACTGCGTCGTAGGTGTGATCCACCACCGGATACTCCTTGGAAATCGCCGAGGAGCTCACTTTCGCCTCCGCGTCTCTGTTCACGCTGCCATGAAGTTCCCTCGAGGCGCCGCCCAGCAGTCGCGCCTGCAGGAAACACATCAATTATCAACATCATCGCGCCCGGCTTCCCGGAAAGCGCGCCCCCGCACTTGCCGAGACCCAGAAAAACTATTACATAACGAGGTTATCTGCCTTCTCCCCCACCAAAACCCACCTTCTTCGCCGTGCCCCGCCCAAGGAGTTTCGGAAGCCGGAAGATAGCACTCATGATGGAATCCTCGTGTCCGCACCAAGAGTGTAGAAGCGTTGGAAAAGCTACTTTTCAGCTGAAGAAACCCACTTTTTCTCTGTTTTTCCTGCGACACTCTTTTTCACCGACAGCCGCGTGAAGTTCACCGCGAGCGCGTGCTGAGGTGCAAAAGCACCCAAAATGGCCCCCAAAAACACCCAAAGGAGGGGAAGTGCGATTGACCTTGAAAGTGCACGTGAGTTGTCAAAACACCGCAAATCGGAGGATTTTGCACAGCGAATTATTGGGGAAATATGTGGTAATTTGAGAAGAATCCAGTGGATTGCAGGTAAGTGAACACTAAAGAGATTGTTTTGTCGAAATCACGCAAAGTTGCTGTGTATTTGGAGAGAATTCCAATGAATGAAAATTCACCATGCAAACTGCTTTCCATTTTCCTTATTTTCCCTAGGAAATGGAATGAGCTTGAAAGAAATGTGAATTAATATAAATACAAAATATTATTGATCAATCACACAGATTCAGAGGATTTATTGAAATGGTTTCTTTTCTTTTAAAAGTTGTTTGTGTAACGTTGAATTTGCAATTGGATAAGGCGAAGCCTTTTTACCAGATGGGAACCAATTTGAGGTCTAGCTTTGATTCACTAGAGAAAATCAGTGGACATGCTTTAGCATAACGTCTCGAATTCTGAGAGCTCTCAATATTCAGTCTGTTCTATATTTGATTCATTGTCTAATTGTAGCGTGTTATCAGTGAACTTCTAAGCTAAAACTGCACTCAAACACCCTCAAGAGATTAGGCTAATTGGCATATCATGCCATAAAAACATTTTAATTGGCCGCCAAATCGACTCTCACTCGCTTTTGTGTTTGTCCGAAGCATCAGCGATAGCGACAGGAGGCGATAAAGCGAAGGAGGAAGCGAGAGAAGGAGAGAAGAAGAATGTTACGGCATCGCCAAGTGTGCGCAAAATCGTCAGTCTCGAGTCAGACTTGCTCTGGGGTGATCTTGGGGAGAGTGCATGAGTTGGCCATCCAGAAGCGTCTCTCTTCTGCACTGAGTGTTGCGTGAGCGGTTCTGCGTGAGTGCCATGGATCCCATGAAGATTGCGGTGCCGGAGATGGACAAGCTCTTCTCCATCGACGGCTACTTGAGGCTGCACGAGCGGGAGTTGAGACGCAGGTGAGCGAGTGATCGAGGGCCTCTCGGCCAGAGCCCTCAGAGTGCACTTGGTGGGCGAAAGATGCGTGCTGAGTGGCGAACGCGGTCGGTCAATGTCACGCCAAGGTCGAATTATGGAGTTGATTTCCAACTCGTCGCGCCATGGAAGTGAACTTTATCAGTGCTGTTTTTCCACTCGACAGACACGGCGTGATCAAGGACTGGCTGGACAAGATAGCCAAGAATGAGGATGGCGGCGTGGATGGCTTCTCGCAGGCCTACAAGTACTTCGGGATACACGTCCAGCCGGACAATGCGGTTGTGGCGCGAGAGTGGGCGCCGGGGGCGCAAGAAGTCTTCCTCACGGGTGACTTTAGTGAGTATTTTGGCGTCTACGTTATCAGCTGTCTGCTGTTGCCAATCACGACATTGCTCTCTTTACAGATGGGTGGCAATGGGAGGCGACGCCGTACACGAAGCTGGAATTCGGCAAGTGGGAGCTGACGATTCCGCCGAAGGAGGACGGCTCGTGTGCCATCCGACACCTGTCGGAGATCAAAGTGATCGTGCGCACGCGGGATGGCACACTGGTGGACAGACTGTCGCCGTGGGCGAAGTACGTGGTGCAGCCGCCCAAGGAGGCCAACCAGGGCACGAACTACAAGCAATACCTGTGGCATCCGCCACCGCATGAGAAGTACATGTTCCGCTATAGCCGTCCCGCGAAGCCCAACTCCATGCGCATCTACGAGTGCCACGTGGGCATCGCCACGGAGGAGCTGGGCGTGGGAAAGTACAGGGAGTTCGGCGATAAAATCATTCCCAGGATCGTGCGGCAGGGCTACAACGCCATCCAGGTGATGGCCATCATGGAGCACGCGTACTATGCCAGCTTCGGCTATCAGGTGACCAGCTTCTTCGCCGCCTCCAGTCGCTACGGCACGCCAGATGAGCTCAAGTACATGATCGACATGGCGCACAAGGCGGGCCTGTACGTCCTGCTGGACGTTGTGCATTCCCACGCGAGCAAGAACGTGGCGGACGGCCTGAACAGGTTCGACGGCACCAACACGTGCTTCTTCCACGACGGCGCGCGCGGTGAGCATCCGCTGTGGGACAGTCGCCTGTTCAACTACACGGAGTACGAGGTGATGCGCTTCCTCATCTCCAACCTCCGCTGGTGGCACGATGAGTACAACTTTGATGGCTACAGATTCGACGGCGTCACGTCCATGCTGTACCACTCGAGGGGCGTCGGGGAGGGCTTCAGTGGGGACTACAATGAGTACTTTGGCCTCAACGTCGACACGGACGCTCTGGTGTATCTCGCTGTGGCCAATGAGATACTGCACAATCTGGACAAGGAGATTACCACAATAGCCGAGGTGAGTTTGTTGCTTGATTGAGGCATAAAAGAAATCCTGATTTCTTGATATTTACCAAAAACACACTCCGAAACTAAAAAGCTAGAAACTAGAAATGATCTTGATTTTTATCCATTTCAGGACGTTTCCGGGATGCCCACGCTCTGTCGGCCAGTGTCTGAGGGTGGTGTTGGATTCGATTACCGCCTGGGAATGGCGATTCCTGACAAATGGATTGAGTATCTTAAGGAGAAGCGCGACGATGACTGGAACATGGGTAAGTTAATGCATTCCAGTGTCCTCAGCAACTCTGACAATCCACCATCTTCTTGCAGGCAACCTCGTGCACACCCTGACGAATCGCCGGTGGATGGAGAAGACCGTGGCGTATGCAGAATCTCACGATCAGGCACTGGTTGGCGACAAAACGCTGGCCTTCTGGCTGATGGACAAGGAGATGTACACGCACATGTCCACCATGTCTGGATCGTCGCTCATCATCGATCGCGGCGTGGCGCTGCACAAGATGATCAGGCTGATCACGCACTCGCTCGGTGGCGAGGCTTATCTTAACTTCATGGGCAACGAATTCGGCCATCCCGAGTGGCTGGATTTCCCGCGCGTGGGCAACAACGACTCCTATCACTACGCCAGGCGCCAGTGGCACCTGGTGGACGATGAAATGCTAAAGTACAAGTTCCTCAATGAATTCGACCGTGCCATGAACATCCTAGAGCTGCGCTACAACTGGCTCTCCAGCCATCCGGCGTACGTGAGCTGGAAGCACGAGGACGACAAGGTGATTGTGTTCGAACGCGCCGGGCTGCTCTTCGCCTTCAACTTCCACCCTTCGAAGAGCTTCACCGATTACAGGCTGGCCGTAGATGTGGCGGGAAGGTACAAGATAGTCCTGAACACGGATGATCCGCTCTTTGGCGGCCACAATCGCGTGGACGCGAAGGTGGATCACTTGTCGACGCCCGAAGGCTACGCCGGAAGGAGGAACTTCATCCAGGCCTATCTACCGGCCAGGACGGCCTTCGTGTATGCCAAATTCGATTGAGCCCTGAAAAGAGGAGGGAATAAAGGAATTATTCAGTTATTTGTCGATGATATTCAAAAATCTACGTTTTTTTGCAGTGTATTTTGACAGTTTGTCAATTTTTGGCGATTATTTAGTCGTGTGATTCATAGTTTGCGGGTGTGCTCGAGATTCTGTGAAAATCATCAGAAAATCAAGGATTTTCACTCCAAAGAGTCCTCAAAACTATGCAAAAAGATCCTTGAGAGGCTAAAGAACAGATCTACAAAGTGAAAAGAGTGTTTTCTGTTGTAGTTTTAACGAAAACCCGATACAATGGGCACTTTGCCACACATCGTGTATGAGATTCTTGATATCTTCCACAAGGTGAGATTCCTGGTGAATTGGCGCGGGCCGCGAGGGCGATTTCTCTATCAGATGTCGTCATTTTAGGCCTCCTTCTTCGCCCTGTCACTGCAAGCGGCTCTCGTGATCCTTGTTATTTGGCTAATTCTGCACAAGAACAAGAGCAACGAGAAGTCCAGGAACCTCTCGGCTGAGCAGAAGGCAGCCCTGATCGCCAACTGGACGCCTGAGCCTCTGGTCGGAGACACACCGCTGGATCATCCGGCACTGTCTCCGCGCCTCGTCACTGGCCGTGTGGGCAAGAGGATCACCGTGGATGGGCGGGATTGTCTGAATCTGGGCACTCACAATTACCTGGGATTGCTGGAGGATGAGGACATCCAGGAGGATGCCATTCGGAGCCTGAAGAAGTACGGCGTGGGCTCTTGCGGTCCCAGAGGCTTCTACGGCACCGTGGACGTGCATCTGGACCTGGAGGAGAAGCTGGCGCAGTTCATGGACATGGAGGAAGCTGTAGTCTATTCTTACGGCTTCTCCACCATCGCCAGTGCGATTCCGGCGTATGCCAAGCGGACGGACATTTGCTTCGTGTGCGTATTAGAAAATCATGGGCTTGACTTTATTCAAATTCCTCAATTGATTGTGATAAAAATGATGGTTTATTAGGCTCAGGCGCGCCTTCAAAATCAAAGCAATTGAGCCATTTTCTTATCTGTTGAATAAGCTTAGTATATGCAATGAAGTCTCTCGCTTTCTCATGGTCTCGTAATGTTGAATGAAGAGGAAACTATAGCTTCATTTGGCAATTGAATGCTGACACAGCTCTGGGAAATGAATTTTCCCGCATTGAAAGCCAAAAGCAGCAAGACTGAATGAATACATTCAATTGACCTGGTAAAAGGGTTAACGAAGCAGTGTAATTCAATATTCTGTGTTTTTTTTTTAGGGATGAAGCGGCAAACTTTGCCATTCAGAAAGGCCTGGACGCTTCGCGCTGCACTGTAGTCTACTTTAGGCACAACGACATGAAGGATTTGGAGGAGAAACTGCTGGAGCAGAGCGCGAAGGATGTGGAGAACCCCAAGAAGGCCGCCAAGACGCGCAAGTTCCTCATCGCCGAGGGCATTTACATGAACACGGGTGAGATGTGTCCGCTGGCGGAATTGGTGGAGATGCGCAAGAAGTATCGGCTGAGATTCTTCCTGGACGAGAGTATCACGTTCGGCACGATGGGCGCCACAGGCAGAGGCTTGACTGAGCACTTGGGTGTGGATAAGGACGAGATTGACCTGATCTCGGCGTCTCTCGAGTGGGCAGTGGGAACAATTGGTGGATTCTGCGTGGGATCGTCATTCATTGTGGACCATCAGAGGCTCTCAGGCTTGGGATATTGCTTCTCAGCCTCCTGTCCACCGCTACTTACCCAGGCAGCGCTCAGTGCGCTGGATAAGTTCAACAAGCACCCAGAGTTATTCGCTGAGATTCAGGAGAGCTCCAGAAGGATGCAAAAGTGAGTAAAAATTTACTCAATGACGCTGCGAATTGAACGCTCTTGTCTTTCTCGCAGGAAATTGGAAAATCTCTCTATGTTGGCTCTCCGCGGGAATCCCATCTCACCGGTGAAACATCTGTACATCAGGCAGGAGAAGTCCAGCAAGGCTGAAGTCACTCTCTTGACTGACATCGTGGAGAAGTGCATTTCTCGGGGACTTTGTCTTGTTAATGCGCAGTATTTGGCACATATTGAGAAGAAGTGTCCTCGGGCGAGTATCCGTCTCACTGTGAACCGTCTGCTAACGGATGAGGACATGGCGTTTGCCTTCGAGACGCTGGAGAGCGTCAGCAAAGAGATCCTGGCTTAGGTTTTTGCCTTCATATTGACTCTGCACGGCATTTTAGCATTTCACGCGGCAGTAATTTTTTGTCCAATAACAATGAACATTGTGTTCGCATTTATTCCATCGTTAGGCACTCTCAAATATATATTTAGTAATTTAAGGAGTATTTTTTTCTGCCCAGAAGATCGGATTTCGGGGATACTCAATGTGAAACATGTTTCATGAAACATTGATTTTGAAAGATGTACTGGAATCCGTCTCGCAGCTGAACGTGTCAGAAAACGTAAACAAACACCGCAAAAGAGGATTCTGTGGAGGAGTTCCTGGCAAAATGCAGAGTGCTTGTCGTCTGTGTCTGGCCAAGGATTGTAAGATAAAGTCCATCTTTGAGTATGAGGATCAGAAAAGTCGCCACAATGAGTTGCAAGAGTTGATAAAGGAGGCGACAGGAATTGAAGTAATGCATAGGTTTTTCAGGGGGAATTTGTGGTCAGCAAATTAAGAGATTCTCCTTTGCAGATCAGCCAGGACGATATGGTGATGGGACTTTGTGGAATCTGCGCCGGAATGATCGTGACAGTGGTGAAATTCAAGAGGAAATGCCTGAGAATCAACGGTTTCATGAGGAATATGAAGAGGAGTCTTGAGGAGGTCAAGAGTACTTCCTGGACAATTCCTGTCCATGTGGAGCTGACTGTGAATGAGGAGAGAGTGGAAGGGGCCAAAGAATGCAGCCAAGAGACTCCAAGCAGCGCCCAAATGGCTGGAAATGGAGAAACTTCAATTCCTGAGTGTGGGAAGAAGACCAGGAAGTTCTACTCTCGCAAAGGAATTCCCACCAACGATCCAGGGCTTTGTGACATTTGTGGTGGACATTTCAGCTACCTCAGGTCGCATAAACTCATCCATCAGGAGTACTTGAAGTACTCTTGTGAGGCTTGTGGCAAGAGATTTCGCAACATCAGCAATTTTCGGCTGCACAAACTGCGCCACAAGGAGCCCAGATTCTCCTGCCACGCGTGCGGTCGCGGGTTCTACACGAAGCCAAAGCTGGAGTCCCACTTGAGGATCCACTCGGACGAGCGCCCGTTCGCCTGCCAGATTTGCAGCAAGAGATTCCGGGAGAAGAAACACCTCGCCGTTCACTTTCGCATCCACACTGGCGAGAAGCCCTTCGCCTGTGCCATCTGCGAGGCCAGATTCACCACGAGCGCCGGAGTGGCGCAGCACAAGAAGCACAATCACAGGTAATTGAAGTGATACACAAATTGTTACAAAATGCCAGAACGTTTTTAATTATAACTTTTCGCAATTTCATACAATATTTATGCGAGGATTTATATATTTGGTTCTATAACTAAAATTTAATTTTTACTGATATTATAATGTAATTAATTTCAGTCGTCATGAAACATATATGAATTTTAGAATAATGTTTTTTTTTGAGACATAAACTTGAGAGAACTTTAAGTAGATGTTTAATTTTTAGAAGACGGCCGAAAAGCAATTTCTCTTTCGGCAGTAGAAACCCAACGTTTTGCACTTCTCGCAGAGCATTTGGGGGTGAACCTTTGACTGGTCCGACACGTCCAGCCCATCGGGCTTCTCAAGCGGTCTCTGCAAAGAAAGCGAAATGTTAAAGACTTTGTACAGTAATGAATTTCGTCTAAGACGTATTTCTTCAGAGATTCTTAGTTATTCCAATGGGAATTTAAATTCAGTTGCATTCCTAAAAACACAAGGATTTGGGGGGCAGTTTTCGCACCACCACGCCTTCTTTTGCGCATGCGAGAGGCGCCTGAAGCACTTCAGATCATACGCGATCATTCCCATGCACTCCTCGTGGAAGATCCTGTGGCAAGAGCCACAGCTCCAAATGATTTCTCCCTTTGTGTACTTAATTCGGCAACCGTTGCACAACATCGCGGATTAATTGGCGCAGAGCAGCACGCTGATTGATTGATGGAACTGAACTGAGCTTAATATCCCCATTGCCTAATCCTATCTTCTTAATTCTTTCCTCATAATCGCCCTTGTGTGCTGGCGAAGCAGGAATTTGTTTACTCGATAAATTCACAATTTTCGCATATATGAAAATCGCATTGTTATGGATGTTGATAAGTGGGAATGATACGGAATATTTATGCTGACCAACTTCTAAAGTTCTAAACATATACAAAGTTTATGCCAGAGAATTTAATACTCGCCCTAACAATAACAACTTCACTCAGTAATTTCACACTCTGAGACTCTCTCTCTCTCTCTCTCTTCGCCTGCGAATTGAGGTTTCTGGAGCAAAACGCCCGCCCTCTCGCCAAATCATCCCTTTAGCGATTTACCTGCTTGTGCGGGTAGACGTTCACTTGGCACTTGATGCACTCTTGACCCATGTTGGCCCACGAGTTGCCCGACATCCACTTCCTCTTGCATTTGGGGCATTTGTACTCCCCGAAGCACCTCTTCTTGCCCTGATACGGCGTCTTCCCCTCGGCTTTCGGTCTGGCCTGCAGAGATTATCTTTTATATTGTACGTGAAGAGAGCACAAAAGGGGACGGCAGACAGATTGTACCTTCGGGCAGTCGCGGATAAAGTGGCCCTTCCTGAAGCACAGGTGACACAGGTAGTTCGCCGGGGGCGTCTTCTGCACCTTCTTGCTGTCAAAGTTGCTGGAGATGTCCAAATTGCCCAGGGCGTCTATCAAATCGAAGATCTGGTCGTAGGACGACGACGGCGGCGTGAGAGACTCGGACTGATGGTTGTGGGAGTAATTCTGGGCCACAGGATAAGCATTCCACAGCGCAGGCATTGACGATTGCTGATTGTGTGAAAAAATAGAGACCAGCTTATCCACGCAATTTCGTGTCTAGAAAGTCATATTTTGAAATATTCACCGGAAATTCAGAGACATGAATGGAAACACGTGTGTTCATTGACGACACAAATGATGGGGAAAATTCAAAAATAGTTTAATAAGTGGGCATTTGAGTGAGTAAATTTCTCATAAAATGTTGGGGGGAAATAAATAATTCGAAGAATTGAAGGTTTAGTGGTTGGAAATCAATTTCTCAGCAATTGGAGTCATTGATTAACATTCGCTCTACTTATCTTATGTGCCGTTGGGCTTTTGTGGTCAATTCCTAATGTATTTAACTAGATCTTGGGATAAAATCAATTTAAGAGAAAACCTAATTTTTGAATCCTGATGTGACGATCTTTTATCCAGTTATCTTATATAGAGAAATATAGGATTTTTGAACATAGTTTTGGACTGAAAATAGCAAGAAATGACCAATTAAAATAGATTTGAGTAAAAACAGCTCGAATTGATATAGAAAATTGAATCAATGCGCATATAAAATGCTTCGATGTCCGAAAACTGCCTTGAATTAGACACACTTCCTAGATCATTTGTCCCTAAACTCCCATCATATTACTTCACTGTTGTGATAGTTTATTGACTGATAAGAATTTAACAGTTCATTAATGACAACACTCGGGCATAAAAACGTGCGAGTGATTTAAAAATAGCGCAGCAGCGCTGCTAAGAAGGCAAAAATTGACACAATTGAGCGCGTGAGTGTGCGTCTGATGAAGGCAGAAATCACCAAATGGGCGATTGAAGGGTCGCCTCGAAAATGAGTAAATTGCCGACCAATTAACATCAATGGATGTGCATTGGCGCATTTGGGGAAAATCGTGTGCGCTCACCATGAAGGCGGGCGGCGGCGGCGGCGGCTCGTCCATCAAGTAGTACATCATGTGCTGCGGCTGCTGGAAGGGCGCCGAGGAGGCCTGGTAGGAGTAGGGCAGCGATGAGCCCTGCGAGGGCATCTTGGAGAAGCCGGCCGAGTTGGCGACACTCGGCGAGAGTTGCGACACGACAGTCGGAGGCATTGTCTGTGGCGGTTTCCAGGAATAGGGCGCGAGCTCAGGCGCTCATTTCCCTTCCCGAAATGCGAGCCAGAGATATGCGGAGTTTTCTTTCACTTCGCCTTCTCCAGTTGATGTGGCGCACAAGAGGAAGAAAAATATCTGTATGTCTCTCTGACGGATATTGAATTCGATCTCAAGCGTACACCCCGCACTGAGAGTGTCTTGATGTTTAGAGCTCTCTGAAAATATCTCCTGCTATTTTTAACCTAAAGAAAGAAATCGTTTTACAGAATTCACTTCAACCACGTTCCTCGCACGAAACTTCTAAATATGCAGCACATTTTCCAACATTGTCCAATTTTGGCACGTTTTTCCGTCTGATAGTGATGAATTTTTACTGATTTTTATGACACTCAGTGAAGCAGAGTTCTTTTGAGATTCACTTTGTGTTGAATTTTCGTGTAAATTCCCCGGTTTTTCGCACTCTCTGTCACACTCTTAAGTCCCCTTATTCACACCAAGGATGAGCACAAGAGATGTGAATTTCTCTCGGCGGATTTAGAGGAAGTGACTGGATAGAAGGCGAATCTTCGACTGATTCGATGTGGGAATGAATGTGTTGAGCCGCCGAATGAGATCGACGATCACTCGCGCCTGAACTTCTTTCTTTGCTCGCGGGCTGCTGCCCAGGGGCGGAGGGAAGGGTGAGATGAAGAAAACAGATGATCACTTCACGAGTCGCGTGTGATTGGCAGAGTGTTGGTGGGAATTCGTGGGGACTTCCTTGTGGTGCATTTTCTCCGGCGGGAAAGGCACTTGATGGAATTCAGTAGCGGCGCGAATTCGGATAAACCATTACTCTAAGACTCCCTTTGAGTCTTCAAGTGAATCCTCAAAAGGATATTGTGTCGAATTAAGCAGAAGAATTGAAAACTCTTTAATTCAATAGAAATATAGAAACAAAAATTATCTTTTTAGTGCATAATTTTCTTCATTCCAAGATTTCTTCTCTTGGAGTTTTTTTATGATGTAAAATGGCATTTTCTATGATGAAAAAATTGGGACTGAATTAAGATTGAATATTAAAATATTTCCAATGAGATTCTTTCGAAAGTGTTTTTTTTTGTATTAAACTTCCAAAGCGACACTTTGAGTGCGACAATTGATTTGTATTTTGTGATGTCCTGACTGAATTTTCACAACAATACACATTGTTTGATTGACATTCACGCTAAATTTTCACTTTGCACTACATTTTTTCGTCAATTTTGTTTTGGTGCTTCCTCGAAGGCTTTATTTGCATCATTGCATAGCAATGTGGGGAATTTCGTTCGTCACCCATAATAATTCAAATTAGTTGTTACTACCAATTATGGCGCTCTTCCCTCTCTGTATTTTTTATTAAGGAGCCAAACTTCCTCCGTGCCGCTGGGCATAAAAATAATTCAAGGTGTACACATGAGACGGCGAAAAGGAGCTTCGCAACCCTTGCGCCACAGCAAACGGCCAAAGAAAAGTCGAAGGGGTTTCTGTGGTTTATTTAAAGGCACTAAGAATTTCGTTTTATTCCTCGAACTGGCGTCTCCATGGCGATTCAACAAACCTCCAATGTGAGCCTCTTGCCAAAAGCCAAAGCTCGCACCTGCTTTGGGAGGGAGTCAGTTTGTTTCAGCGACTCTCGCGCGACTGTTGACTCGTCGGAGGACGAAGAAGTGCAGTTTTTGGGTGAAAATTGTGGCCCTTTTGAACGGCACTGGAGTGGAAAAAAAAGAGTGCAACACTGAGGATTAAAAGCCACTGTTGGAGGATTTAAATCCTGGATATTTGCGAGTAAATATTGGCAATTTCTTACGCAATTTCGTGCTGGGGAAAAACTGATCGATTTGTCTCAAGGTTGTTCTTTAACAGCGTCTTTCCTTCCCTGGCTTTTCCTCTTCTTGTATATACGGCATTTTCTGCAAATTGACTCCTGTTCAGTTGCTATTTACCCCGAATATTGTCATTTCTTGCTTGGTGATTCCATTTTCTTTGAACACAACAAAAGGAGCACGACTCTCCGTTTCCTTTCGCAATCATAAATGCAAGAAGTTTATTATTATCGAACACATTTAAATTACATTATATTCGACAATCGATTTCACAAAAATATGCGATCCCAGCGCAACCGTCTTCATAGTTAATTCTCTTTTATGTTGCGATCTATTTTTATTCAAATTAATCGAATGTACGAATTGACATTATTTTTTTGTTATATTTTTATCCATGGCGCGCTCTGCCGTGCGTCAAATATTTTCGTAGTGATTTATGAATTTAATATTCATACTTTCTTTCTCTCCCGCACGCCAGACTGTCGGGATTTCGTACATGGGAACAGTGTATTTGTTAAAATAATAATGAATAATTGATGGAGTTGCCTGGGCGAGGAGGTTCGAGGTTAGATCCTGGATAACGTGGGACAACATTTTCAATTCGTGTGAGACATACATAATATTAACTTGCTTCCTCATGAAATATTTGTCGACTTGGTCTTCCTGAAAGTAACAATTCGCATTGCATAGAGAAGACATAGAAAATATACGTGAAAAATTTCTAGTTTCATTGTAAAACTTCTTGAAGCACTTTAATTGTTTGTCTGTCTAAAGAGGAATTTAACTTTATCTAAATTGGACTATTAGGAAAAGCGATAATAGAAAGTTCTCTTCAGAATGGTAAAAATCTTCCATAATTCCTAAATTGCATAGAATTTTCATCATTTCTCATGATATTTCTAAATAATCATGATTTATTTGTCATAAGAATCTATCTTACAATTTGGAACATTAGCAGTAAGGAAACTTTTCCGTTACTATGCCCAGACTCGAAGTCCGTGACGTTAATCACTTACTATCCTCATGCATAAGTAATGTCCCTAGCCGAATGCTCCTATCAAAGTGTGAAAATCGTCCCATAACGCAACGTATAAACCACATTTCTTCGATCTTGAATAATAAATGACATAGCAGAGTGGTTGTGCGATTGCGGCATGAAAAATACGCCGAAGTAAAATGTACAGGAAATATGAGGTGGAAAATTACGGGTGAAGGAAAGGGTGAATTTCCTGGAGTGACGGGAGGTCGCTCAACTTGTCCAATAGCACTAAATTCCCGCCTTGTCTTCCGGCAATAAATTCAAATGCCTCCCTCTTTGGTCTAATTCAATGTCATTCACTCTCCGAGAGTGTCTATCGACGGCCCGTCGCATTACTTTCATGATCCCCGAAGTGCGACTGTAAATATGTGAATCCTTGGGTAGGAATTTGCAGAGCGCTATGGTTTAGGTGGTTTTTGGCCGATAGTTTACAATATCGATTGACTCAGTTTGTATCCTTGCATCGTATCCTCACGAATTTGGTTTTACATTGCTAAATATAGTCGTTTTGTCCGTGTTAAATTACAATGAACATGGCGCGGTTTATTTTGGTCTCGATAGAGACAGTTCTTCATTCATGTCGCTTGCATATTTCATGTCCTCGTCTACAAATGGGGAGCGTTCCTTTATCCTTGTTCTCGGCGAAGGCTTTCCTTTGCGTGGAATGATGACCGACAGTATTAATGCTTCAGGACGTCGATTTACTGCGTGAAATGTGCGTTATTGTTCTAACATTCCACCCAAACTGCAATCAATCAATTGTCTTTGGGTATCTGAATGAATTTCCAGTGACTTGTGATTAACATTAAGCAGCATAAATTGTTGAATCAACAATTGCCACTCATTTGTGTGTATATTTTCCATCACACACAACACTTTGTATTGATTATTCTTTCTTCTTGGCTTCTGTGGCACAAATTGTAATGTATTCCTGCCATGCCACAGGTTATTGACTTGACGATTTCCCAGGACAATTAAAATATCAACTCCTTCTCTCTGGCATTTTCTAGGTCTTCTCATTTGTCGCGCTCATCAATTTAGCCCGAAGTTTATCCATTTGTACCATCTGTTCAATTTGTTTATGCTCGCGATGAAGGAAAATAGTTTGTGTATAGTCGCGATGAAGAGGTAAAAGTAATTCTTGCGCCACTGAAACTATGTCAAAGTTAAAGCGTGCAAAATGTGTTGATTATTTTAAATGCTCTCGAGGCCCAAAATTGGTCGTGCTCTTTTCCCATTCCCAGTCTGGGTAAAGCTCACTGGAAAGGTAAACTTTTCGCCACTCTCTTGACTTTTTGCAGCTCAATTGCGTGCTATTTTGTATGAGGCCGCCTTTTCACGAGAACCCTTTCTCGAGTCTCTCCGTGGTCAGATCAACTCGAATATTTGCCCAGAAGTTCAACATGCAAACACTCACGAGTTTGATGAAAAAATTTGCTGAGTACATCAAAATCCGGGGATTTGAAATCACAAAGACTGAAGCTCAAGTTTGTGGTCAAGGTCTGTGCAATCCTTGGAAACAGAGGCGTTCTGTTGAATGGAATTGCCTGACTTGATGGAATTTGCCTAAGCATTAAATCAGTGAAAGAGACATCAATAAAAGGTCAGAGTGATAAATGGCGTATTGGAGGGAATTCGTGCGTATTTCGCGAATAAAAGTAGTCACAATTTAGATAAATGGCGTTGATACAATAAAATCGAATGTTGTATTTAAGGAACGTCCTTTTTTTACTGCGCACACGAGGATTTCGTGTTACTTCAAGCAAAAAAAGCTGCCTTTTTCACCCTACAATTTGTATTGCAAATTTACATGACTTTCATAATAGTTTCCAAGGAAAAAAGGAGTAATTATAACTTAACAATTGAATTGACATTTTTCTTTACTGTATTTTTCTCATTTTTCCGTGAGCAATAATACTAAAATCAATGTGAACGTGTACAATTTGACGGAGAAGAAAGCGTAACCTTTTCACTTAATATGGTTCTGAATTATTATTACTCCTTTGTCTACATATCCTATGGTATTTGCAGAAATACCACAAAAGCGTGTCCTTTAGGTCTATATTTATTTGGGGTCTATTTTCGGATTGCCATTCACGTCAGAAGGACGGCTGTTTATATATCTAATTACACATTTGTAGGTGAATTCATGAAAGGACAGTGATGGAGAAATACGACGTCATTTCGGTGGTCGGCGAGGGAAGTTATGGTCTCGTCATGCGATGTCGACATCGTGAATCTGGTCAATACGTGGCCATTAAGAAGTTCTTGGAGACAGAGGACGATCCCACGGTCAGGAAGATGGCAATGCGAGAAATTAGAATGCTAAAGGTACCTTAAAACTATGCCTTATATTGGTCTTATCGGGTGTGTTAATGGTTGAATTTTTATACTTACAGAGATTGCGTCATGAAAATCTGGTGAATATGATCGAAGTGTTTCGGCGAAAGAAGAGATTTTTCCTGGTCTTTGAGTATCTGGAGCACACGGTTCTTGAAGAACTAGAAGCCAGATCCGGTGGTCTAGGCTTCGTCACGGCACGCAAGTACATTTACCAGGTTGTGAGAGCGCTAGACTTCATTCACTCCAACGACGTGATCCATCGAGATATAAAGCCCGAGAATGTTTTGGTGTCTCGCCTGGGAATTGTGAAGCTGTGCGATTTTGGCTTCGCCAGAACCTACGCAGAGAATGAAACCTTCACGGATTACGTGGCGACGCGATGGTACAGATCGCCTGAGTTGCTGGTTGGAGATCCGAGATATGGGAAGGAGGTTGATATCTGGGCGACTGGCTGTCTCTATGCTGAGATGATGACTGGAGAGCCACTCTTCCCGGGTGAGAGTGATGTTGACCAGCTGTTTCAGATTGTCAGAGTCCTGGGGAAAGTCAACGCCAGGCATCAGGTCTTGATAACGAGAAACACAATATTCAAGGGCATGAAGCAAGAGCAGGACACAAATCTCAACTCAATCTTCCCGGAATGGAATAGAGACAGTCTAAATTTTCTAGAACAGTGCCTTCAGATGGACACAATGTCACGTCCGGACACGAGAAAACTTCTCAAACATGATCTCTTTACGAAAGATGACTTTCTGGATCAATTCCTGCCGGAACTCAAGGTGAAACTCAGTCAAGAGGCTCAACTCAATCCACTACTCAAGCGAATCCAAAGTGTGGGGAATTCGGGAAAGAAAACCATTCCAATTGACGAAGCAAAGACTCAACAATCCGATCGAACAACGAGGGAGAATAAGATGATGCCGAATGCGACAAAGGAGCGAATCGGACAAATAGGTCTGTCCTTCCTCACCACCAGTCAAATACTGGGAACAACGCCCAACAAGATATCAGTGGACGTGCCACCGATGAAGTCTGATGAGAACAACTTTGCATCCCTGAATTCGTACAAGAACTACTTCAGCAATCAGCATTACAAGCTTCTGTCGCAACTCAAGTCTAACAGCATAAACACCAACAACTTGGGAAAGGATGTTCTGGGATCGAAAGACAGAGTTTTGTCGGCGCACAAGGATAAGATAAACATGCAAAATTTGGATGCAAACATTCATCCAGGATCACCGGTTCAGTTCCAGTCATTGCAAATGGAGAATTTACAAACTGATGTTAGTCTGGCTACAATGTTTCCGATGAGAACTTGTGTCTAATTTAATTGATCTTTTTAGGCTAATCTTGGCAAGAAAGAGCGTGGAACGTATGGAATAGTTAGTCATGGAGATGAGGTAGTTCTTTATACAATTCTTACTATCTGTTTGTCTCTAACTCTTGATTTCTTGTCAGAAACCCGCCAATCAAACTCTTCCCATGGATATCAACAGTCTGGCCATTTCCGGCAGCATTCCGCAGTATTTCTCCAACAAGAGGCACTCAAATCTCATGAGTACCTTCCAATGCAACCAGAAAACCACCACAAATCCTATTATGGCAAAGCAGAGTCCCATTCCCATTCAACTGACTGTTAACCGACCGAATCTTGTGAAGAGAGACCGGGGAATTCTGTTGGATGCAGTTTCAAACTCGCTTGGTATCGGTCAGGATCCACTCAAGACCGACACGAGTCCCAGGATTCTCCTGGGACCACCCTGGCTGACTGGCAAGGACTCCAAGATCACGGCGCAGATCGGGAAGAAAGGCGGCGGACTGACGGACTGGAAAAGTATAAGTCACAGCAACAAGTTGCAAGTGTCGGGATCGCACATTCTGGACTACAACTCGAGTACTAGCAATCCTGGGAACGATCTTGTGTTGCCCAATTGTCCAGGAGCCTCGACGAGTCCTTACAAGGGCACGAAGAAGAAGCTGACGCCAATGACGGGGATCCAGATTCCAGGAGAAAACACAATATTTCCAACGCCGGTAAGTCTAGACAGTGTTTCAATCACATGAGAAAGAATTCAATTATTAAGGATATTCTCTCTGTTTTCTTGCAGCGAAATTTTTCTCCATCCTCGGATCAAAAAAATAACACTTGAGAATAGGCAAAAACCCGTAAAGAATAGAATTACCTCTCTACCAACTGTAAATTGAATACTGCGCAAAGTTAATAGCCTATAATGTTAAATAAACTTTTTTCAACTGATGAATCAAACAGAGGCTTTTATTGCTCAAATTATCATTTATTGACTCTTAAGCACCAATTTTCAGCAAACATCTTTTTATGATTGTCCCTTAATTTGTGTGTAAATACAAATGACTTCTCTAAAAACACAATTATTGGAATCACAATTTTTACAAAATTTCTTTCGAAAAAAATAACATCTCTTGACTTTCAGGCTACGAAGATTTTTAGAAAATGATATTATAAAGACTTAAAGTAGGAAATTAATTTAGCGTGTCATCTATACATTAACTCAGTGAATATAATGAAGTTTCTTTCTTCTCTAAGATTTAAAGAGTAACTTAATCCATTGACTAATGAAAAGTTTATCATGCATTGTTGTATTGAGTAACCTTGTTCATGCTTTTATCAAATGGAATTCAAAGATTTAACTCTGAAAAAAGTAAGGTAATTACAAAACTTAAATGACGCTTCAGCAAGTATTTCGCATAATAATGAAGAATCAACATCTATCACATTGAAACACATCTGACTTCAGTTCTCCAGGTGCGTGTCGCCGGGACAGGGCAGGCGCAGCCTCTCCTGGCCCAGCACTGTGATGGGGATCATCTGGTGGAAGCGGATCAGGTCGTTGAGACTGTCGTGGGCCAGCTGATTGGCACCCAGGAACTGATAACGGCCGTTGGACGCGTCCACCAAGTAGTGCTTGCAGCGATCTGTGTCCCGATAGGAAATGGCGTATCCCCAGACCTTCTCGGACACCCGGACTAGAAAGGATCCCGCCGGCTGGGGTGCCAGCAAGTGCTCAGCCTCGCTTCTCGAGAGGAAGCCTGAAAGAGCCAGTGAGATTGCGAATGTTAGAGAAATCTCTTAATTTAAGATGCGTCACTTAAGAAACCCACCGTGAAACCACGTTAGCGGTCGATCGTGATCGTCCATTCCGGCTCCTTTGGGCACCTCCTCGTCGCGATACCACTTCAAGACGGCCTCATGATTGGCAGGACGAGACTCCAGGTTGTTCAGCTTCGTGTCTGGCGTGGAATCATCGCTGTTCTGACCCTCAGTTTCCTCAATTTGATCACAGCTCAGAGACATTCGATGCACTTCGCGAGCCTTTCGCGCAATTTCCCGCCTCTTGATTTCCGCCTGCTTCGCCTTTCGCTCTGGAGTGGACAAAAATAAGAAGGATTGTTAGTTACAAAAGCCAGACAGTTCAATGATTCACTCGGCGACACGCTCCCTCAAACAATGTCGAGCGAGCGAGACTGGCGAAAGAAGCAACGCAAAAGAAGGGACAGAGAATTTATTCCTGCGTCGGCAGAATATGCTCAAAACTCGACATTATTTTCTTGATAAGAACAACGCACTAACGGAAGTGGGAATTTGTGCCTCATATGATATGAAATTCTTAATTTATTAAAGCTCACAAGTTGCAAGACTTCACTTCCGGCACCTCTGTTTGTTTTGCCGTAATGCGGAGGTCACACTTGCTTCTCATTGTGTAACACTGCACATTATGGGCGTTTAGTTGGTTGTTTAAGAGGCAAGACTTTGTTGCAACACTCACAGAGAGGTGTCTTACAATTTTGTCAGGTGTGAAAGAAGCATGGCGAATGCAATTTCATCCCCTAAAAGCTCCAATTTCAAGTACATTTTTCCAATTCCTGACGTGAGTTTTGCTTGTGCACTTATTCACATTGGGAGAATTCAAGCTTATCAATAATATGGTAATAAGAGTGTCATTACCTTGCTCCTTCCACAGCTCCTCTTCCTTCCTGGCCGCCTCTTCAGCCTCTCGCTCAGCGTCCTGCTGCTTCTGTTGCATCCCGCGCAGGATCTCACAAGTCCTCTCGCCGATGAGGCGCTGCTCCCAGAGCGCCACTCGCGCAGCCACTTTCTGCGTCGCCTTGCTGTTCAGCGAGATCTCCTGCAGCACATCCCTCTTCTTGTCCCCAGCATTGCTGTTGATGTTGAAGTTCGCTGTTGACGGCTTGTGCGGCTTCGCGGGCGGGGCGGGGTTGTTCTGGCTGTTGTTGATCCTCTCTCTCAGTTCGTCCACCGAGCAGTAGATCTCCATGTCCTCAATCTTGGGCATCTCGTCATCCTCGAGTTTGTGACTGATCTGGTCCAATTCCATGATATCCGACAGCTTCACCTCGACGCTCTTCCTCAGTTCTTGCGTCTCCTGCTCAGCCAGTTCCCGGGCACGCAGTTGCGCCTCCTCGGCCAGGATCTCATCGATGGTCTTGTCGTTGGGATGCTCGCCCATCACCCACACCCACGGATCACCGTCCTCGCCCATGAGGAAGGTCACAGTCTTCTTGTGACTGTTTCTGGCGGATTCGCTGCACGACTTGCGGCACTCTTCCTGGTCCCAGGCGCGCCACCGGCGCACCTGCTCCTCCCTCATGATGCAGAAGAGCGTCTGCTTCTCGGTCTCATTGAGACCCTCCAGGAGCTCAGGCTCCACGCGCATGTCTTGCAGAATCTGCTGCAGCATCTTTGCTGGGGATATCTGAGGAGGAAGGGAAGAGCATCGAGTGAGTTTAGCGAACTTTGCGTTAATTTATGTCCCAAACAATCAATTTATCATATTAATGTATATTCTCCCGCTTATTGTACATTATACAAATTCATCAAACCTTTTACGCTGGAAGGCAGAAAACCGCAAAAGTGCAAATGCCTCGAGCTGAGACACAACAAAAGGAAAAACATATGCGGGCTTTAGACATTCTTATATAATTAATTCATCCATATCAGTCGTTTTCATCTCACAATTACAGGCGTGAATCATGTTCCGCGCTTATGAAGGCGTCTTCTTGGAACGCATTTTACAATTGATTCGAATGACCGTAGTTTTGTATTTGTTCGGGAGTTCAACGTGCCACTTCCTTCCGTGTGTCTTCGGCACTTCAAGCCAAATGATAGGCTAATCGAGTTCGATTGGAGTCCCAAAAAATTGCGGATGACTCGCTTAGCGAATCACTGCGCAGTTGAATAAGCAATCGCGTCTCTTTGTGCTATGAAACTGCGATCTAAATGGCTCATTGTTGGCACAGCAATGATCATAATTGCATAGATAGTCACACAAAGAAGTCAATACGTTTGTAAATAATGTAAAACTCTGTTTAGTTATGCTCTCTATTGCGCGGCACTTTTTTTCCTGAAGAGTCTCTCTGACTGGATAATGGATTGTTATTAGCAAATTATGCCGATTTTCTATTTATCTTCAGCTGTTCACCTCGATTTTTTTTTCTGTGTGAGCCAAGAGAGCCTCAATTTGGAGGAAAGTTGGCGAAAAATTTGGCGAAATGGCAAAGTACTCAAAAGTGTTTGGGTGGAAACGGTTAAGGATACTTGACACATAATATTAATTAGCTAAACATTTAAAAAGACACAATAGGTAATTAGAGAGCCACGTGGGTGTCATTATAGGTCAAGATTGACCAATAAATGGCCAATTAATGCTCACAACAAGTGGCAATTTTTGCATATTAGCAAAAAAATATATTTGATCTTCAGGCATTAAATTTGCAGATGATTGTGAATATTTATTCACCTCTTTTATATGGTAATGAACTCTCTCACATAATTTCCAAAACAGAGCGTCAAAATTGCACATTCAGTGATTTTCTGACTTGTTATAATACATAAAAATTCTCCAAATAACCTCACGAGTTTGTTAATTATAATCTTAAAAGTGTTCATTACAATTTGAAATCTGCAAAAGAGCAAGGCAAAAATGCGTATATTTATTGTTATAAGTCTTCCTAACTGTGTGAAACTGTTCATTTTCCTACCGAAGAATTAATTCACTGTGCGCACGCTGACTTTTGTTTAAAAAAAAAATACCCATAATTCTATACAAGCAGATTCGCGCCTAAAGTTCATGCGCATTCAGCGGAGGAAAAGAAGGTTGACCGCGAGATTGAGTGATGAAATGACTTTCAGATTGCAAACCTTGGCCAGAGAGACAAAAGAAGCGCCGGATAATTGTCACAGTGGGTTTTTGGGTTGGCGTTCGCGCTCAAATCGCGATCCAGTTGCGACACTTTTCCCACTATTTGACGCCCAGAATCTCGCATATGGCGGAAAGTGTCATGTAAAATACCTCTTTTGTCTCAGCTCACGCGAATGCCAATTAAACTGACTCTGCATTTAATTAAACCACATTTTTTTCAAAGCTCTCACGACGCTAAGTGACAATGTCAAATCCATTGGGAAAGAGTGCGAGTGCCAAAAAGATTTGTCATCACATAGATTCTAAGATAGAATGCGGAATTATTCATGGAATTCTGAATACATCTGAGCAATCAAGCTTAGTTTTATTTTCTTGATCTCAGCCATATTTCTCTTTCAAATGCGGTTAAATGCTAAAGTGAAAGCATTTCAGTAGTTAAATATTCATTGATAAAAGTCTGTTGATTTAAATGCATAAAATTGGCAAAATATATTAATATAACTTGTTATGTAAATATCGTCGAGTTCATCACCTTGTATCTCATCTATACTGTGTTCTTTAGTTGTGGATTCAAACACAAGAGTGATTTTTCTGCACAAATTCTGTGCATAAAAAGACTTCTTTCGAAGCACAAGCCAATTATTATTCTAGTCTGAAGTGCAAATACAATGATAGCTGAAGAAGCCAACGATACACAGTGATTTTACATTAAACATCAATAAAATTGTAATCAATTGTGGCCCTGTTTATGTTGTACATTGCAAACTGTTTAGAAAAATTAACGCATTTTGCCGAGCTTTTCAATTACAATTTCCTCAAATCAATTGTATAGGAAATGTAGTGCGAATTCCTGCCCTTTCCGTTCAGCACTCACAAAAATCGATAATTATTAAGCAAATTATCGAGCAAAACCTCTTCTCTGTCGGTTTCGAAGGGAAATGCATGTTAAATTTTGCGTACGCGGGGAAAAGTGGTAATGAATTAGTGCATCTCCGTCCGAAATGCGTGCCTGCAAATATTCAGCGTTTCAGTGAAACGCACGTCGTTTTTCTTTCCTCAAACAATAAATAAAGATTTATTAGCCACACCAACGCATTGCTGTTGAAGTATTTAGAAAATACTTCAGCACTTTTTTTTTGGTGAAATGAGGTTCCTGCTGGTCGTTTTTACTCAATTTCTTTTGCATTGTTTTTTTTTCTTCTTCTGTGCACCGAGAATGAATGTTTGTCTTTTGGTTTGCTGCTGAGCAAAAAGAGTAAATGTTACGGCTCTCTTGTGAATAATGTTTTACTAATTGGTTGGGATGTTAGAAAGTTTGATTATCATATAAAGTTGTAGTTGATGATTCTTCGGTAAAAAGTGATTTTGCATTGATCACCAAGAGTGGTTTGCTTCAGATAAAGATGAGTGTTTTGGGGTAAACATTTTGGCAAAGTGAGTGGTTTTATCGCTGAGCAGATGTTGTAAATTTTAAGTGAAATTCATGGGGAAATATCGATTAAACTGATGGTGTATTATGTGTTGAGTCTTTCAAGAAGGCCCAGAAGAAGAAGAAAAAAGAGCCGAATAATGCTCACTGTTGGAAGCGAACAATATATGCATGGTTGTATCAATTGTTTCTTTTAAAATAAAATGTTAGTAACAGTCACTGAATGAGAAAATAAACTTTTTATTTCTTTAACATTAAAATTTTCAATGAGGAAAAGACTCTTCGTGCTCATTAAAGGTGAAATATTTTAGTCCATGTTACCGGTTTTGTGTTGCGCGCGCACTCTTTGCTTTAAAACAGCTTAACTGTTTGCAAGCAAGCACCACGAAAATCAGGAAAAATTCACATAATACCGTATGGTTTTAATTATGTACAATTTTCCCTCCTTCGCAGCGCATCATGCATTTTTTGGGCGTGAAATAGTCAAAGAGCATGAGAAGAAATTACAGCTTTCAGGGTCTTCCGTCGAATTGAATTCTCAATATAAGAGATACATATATAATCATTAGGAAATCGTATTAAATAATTTTTCAACAATTTTCCCGTCCACGTGAGTGAATCATTGAGTGGCCAGTGATGCGAATTTCTGTCCTCTTCCAAGAAATCCACGATGATTTCGCAGAATTCACTGCCAGTGTGACAAAATTATCGATCTATGCCTTGAGTTTTCTAACAAAGTGTGGCCAAATTGCACGAAAATCGATCTTGAAACCGGATTAAATCCACTTGCGACACCGAAAAGCGTGAAATCTCAGATGAAATATCAAGATAGAGCAATTATTTAAGTGCATTCAGAGGTATATGAATATACATTTTTAAAGTTCATTTTGCAATCCCTGAGAAGCGTTACAAGCCGGTTTTCCTGATAAACCACATATTTGCAGTCTCTCTGTCGCATTTATTCGCCTGAATAAGTGTGACCCTGAATGTGTATCAAACCAAAACAATTTTATCTGAATTATCTCGGCTTCGTGTGTAATTCAAGCCAGCTTGTCTCAAATATTTGTGTGGTTGAAATTATATTTTTCCTTCAATATCACAACCAGAGGAATTGCGATAAGAGTGTTTGATCATTGATTGAGAATGATAACGCCGTTTCTGGGCGTAAGGAGAGGATTATCGTGGCTATTTTGAGTTGGAAAAATCATTCTAAATAAAGCCTAGCCTGCAGAGGAAGTCAGTGTGGTAACGAGAACCGTGTCAAGTGGCTGCATCGCTTGCAATTGAGATCAAGTATGGAGTGTGCAATATAATAATAATAACAATAAATTACCTGAGGCTAATCTCTTAAGTACTTGCTGAAGTCTTGTTTTAGGAAAGAGTCTTGACAACGACACAACGCATGTTTCCGTTCTTTTTTGTTGTTGGCAAAAGTCAAGCAAAACAGTCAACTTGAGGTGCTGAGAATATTTCTCAGCATTCTCGAGGCATGACTGAGTGTAGTTGCCATCCGAGTTGATTTTGAGCACCTTTAATCATACTGATTACCCGACCAAACATTGCTGCGAGCTCAAGAGTATCAGCAAATTGATGTGCGTAACGACAAAGCTCGGCAATCTTCCGATAAACAAACACACAGTCTTGCAAAGCTCTGCCTTATACGGCCTCACAGACGCTCGACGGAGATTTCCGTTGAGGCAAAAGTGACTCATACTTTGGGCAGAGTTGCTGGAGAAAAGAAATGCCTCGCGGCCATATGAATTGAGTGAACATTGCAGCGATATATACTCACTTATGGGAATCTCACTCGAGAGGGTTTTTATCTCTGAGCGTCTGGAACTGCGAAGGGCTCTTCTTGGAGAGATGCGAAGATACACGGATACGAATGTTTCAAGCCACTTTCAGCCAATGTTTTATGACATTTTTCAGCTCACTTTTTTTGTGTCTGCCGCCTTTTGAGGTCACACAATTGAATTTCTTCACTTCACAATTCACAAGATCTCTTTTATCTCACTTGCCTCTCCTCTCCCTCTCTCTCTTTGCTTCGATCTCCAGTAAGACGAAAAAAAATGTACTTCACGTATGAACAGATGAGAAACTTGTAGTGATATTTAGTGTTGTATTTTTGCGAAAAGATACAAAATCTCTGGCACTCAAAAGTCGTCTTTTCACCTTAGACAATCCACAGAAGATATATAAAACTTCTTCTGCTGCAGAGAAAGAGAGACAGAAACTGATATAGTCCAGATAATGTGGAACACTGAGAGTGGAGATCGTGCTTCTTGTTATCCACTCAAGGCGCAAGTCGACTTCCAACTGCCTCGGCTACACTTTCAGCCGACTGACTGCACCGTTTACCCGCCACAAAGAAGTCAAGTCAATGAATGTATGAATGGAATTGGGTTTGGCTTAGTCGACGCCACAGTGTGTGTGTTGGAGACCCGTCGAGTGAGTTTATCTCATGCCCAAGCCATGCTCTGAGGCGCACAAGAAGATGTGGAAACGATCGCGGAGACACTCAATATTTTTCCCCAACAAACACTGACGCACACACTTGAAGTCCAGAGCAATTTTCCAATTTCTCAGCGACAAACTGGAAACACGTGGACTTCCTCATTTCAATCATATGCGCCTCAAAATTCATCGGCAAATTTCAGATGTGCGAAATGGAAATTTTCACAAGTGGATGACTGATAAAATACCGTGAAGCCCGATAGTCATAATCTTGCCCATACCTTCAATTATCACCTGTAGAGTGGCTTTCGCAATGTGGGTCTTAAACAAAGCGACTGAAGGGAGATTAAATGGGTCAGTGAGTGCGCGGTTTCTCACTTTGGACGCAATTTTGGGAGAAAGAAAGACGTCATTGTTGGTAGAGTTGGAAACCGGTCTTTTCTCGATGCTGTTCTCAAATTTTTATTAAAAGACTTTTCACTTTGCATCAACTTATTCAAGTCTTTTTGTGGGATTAAAGCTCTTAGCCACTGTAAATTACCACACTTGGATAACTTATGCTATAATATATTAACATACGATTGTTGGGAGAATATTCAGAGGCTCCGCCCACTCGAAAATCCCGCCTTCTTATCAGACAAACTAATCCAATTGAACAGAAAAGTCTTTTAATTCCTGTAAAAAATTATTACTTGCACACGTTTCCTTTGACCATGTCTTTAAAGCCATCCGCTAATCATCAAACTTATTCCTCAACCTCTTTCAAATAATTTAACGACTTCTGGCCGGAATCACATGATTGTCAAACAAGTTCCAAAAACAATGTGGAAAAAATGCGGAAAGGTCATGAAATCAGGAAATGGCCACAAAAAATCTGTTACTGGTTAAACGAGGCGAATAAGTGCTTGGCAAAGAAGCCAATGATTTTCTCATTTCTTCAGTTTGGGAGCGAAAAGTGCGATATTTCGAAAAGTGGCTTGCGAAATCCTCTTACGAAGGCCCAACCCAGTCTTTGTCATCGATCATCATCCAGAATTGAAAATGTGAGAGATTTGCCAAGTCGTGAAATACTTGTGAAGTGAATATTCCTCAGAACACGCTTTGCCTCTCTCTGCAATTTTCAACACTTCACCACAATTGACCTTAACAATTTGTGTGCGGGGAGTGAGAAAAAGGCGCCTTTGCTTGTGTGCATATGTATTTAGATGTGGTATTTTTTTTTCTTACAGTAAATATTTACAAATTTCTGCACAAAGAAATTCACCAGAGAAGAATTCTCACATGCTCTCCAGAGAGAGTCTTCTCTCTTCCCAGAAAACCGACCACTTTTTGGAGCACATTTGCAGTGTCACTTGGAGCAAAAAGTCCATGATTTTTGACAAGGAATTTGACTTGATAATCTTCATGAAGGTTTTGCAGATGGGTTTTAATGAAGAAATCCCCGAAAGTCTGTGATTAATTTGTGTGGAATGAAATTCCTTCGATTCACACTGGCAAATATTGATTCACAAGATTGCTTTCCGATAACACAGTAATCTCCGTGAAGAAATTTCATGAGGAAAAACTCTTTCTTATCACCAGAACACACAGCAAGAACTCATAAAATGATAAAACGTGCATTTGTGGTCGTCAATTTTGTTTGGGCACAAATGAGATGTTATCACACATGAGCATTTGTTTAGCAATTTACAAGTTTTCAAACACATTTTTTTTGTCACACTTCGCATGTGACCAATATTTGTACAATATTTCAGTTATCAGCGTTGGAAAAATTCAAGACAAATTGAGGGTTTATTAATTAAAAAGAAAGCCTCACACATTAAATCCATTTGGAGCCAGACTACACAATGCCTTTGGCATCATTCATTTGCTAAAGAGATGTCTTTCAAATGGAAATTTCAACTATAATCTTAAGTGATTTTATGCCATATTTGATTTATCATAGCTCCCCATTTTTTTTTATTGCACATGAATTGAAATGATCGCGTTGGAAAAATTGCCTTTCTTTTAATGTCTCTTGGGTTTCCATAATTCAGCGAAGAAGAAAAAAAAGACATAATAATTCCATCTGAAATTGCCTTTCTGTCGATCATTTGACAATTATTTGGTGCATGAAATTGATCTTTTATTCCGCAGAAAAAGTCAGTTTTGCCCATGTTGCAATAAAAAAACCACCAAATTTGTGGTTGTAAATAAAGTGTTTTTGGCGTTGATTGGAAATTTCACTTCTTGAGAAATCACACACCAAAAAGCCGTCGCCCTCGCGCACTCTGTCTTCCATCAAAGTCACAACATCTGACAGCATTGCCCATGTTAATCATCATCTAAGTAGAATTTTTAGAATCTCCGGGGAGACAGAAAACAAGCCTCCAGTGAGTTGCATTGTGGAGTTCATAAAACCATTCACGCTAAAGAGTGAGACATTCTATTTATAAAAGAGCATTTTACAATCAGGGGAAGATAAATGTGTGCGCACAGAGACGATAAGTACACCAAATAAATACGAACTTTTGGACGCGTTTCGTGGCCTCTGGCGAGGAACTTTGGTGACTCCGCGCCCTGATCATGTTAATCAAAATATTTAAAATTCCCAGAGAAAATGGAAAACATTATGGAATCCGGAAAACACGGTTTTCCTCACTTTACCGCTTTACTCATGCGTAATAGCGAAGTGTACAATTCGGTTGTATTTCGTACTTCATGAAAATTCCATGAATCATGCGGAGTTTTATTTGTATTATTATTTTTTTTGACTGAATCCACCCAAGAATGATTTTGCTAAATGTCGGAAAACAATATTGTCTTTGTAAATTGAATGGGAAGTATAATATAATGAGTCTCTGGACATTGTCTGAGACAGACCAATAAATATAGTAATAAATATCAATGCGTCTATTGTGAAGAATGAGTTCTCAACTTTGAGGTGTGGCGGGTTTTTGAGGGGACCTCAATTTGAATGCGAGAAATTGTTGTCTTGCAGAGGCTAAACTGCATTATAATAATGAACGTGATTTGACTGATCAAATTCATCAATCGCTCTTATTTCACGAAGTTAATTAGTTACTTTGTGTTGTATGAATTGAATATATGTTTTATACAGTACATGAAATGATAGATCAATTGACGTGGTAAGTGTTTACGATGTAAGACAATAACACAAATTGTGCCTTTGGCAAATACAAAGAGCGTAACACATATGCATGTTTCTCGGGATTATGAACGTGAAATTCGTGTGAAACAAAATGGAAAAGCATATGCTGCACAGAGCATGGTTTTAGCCACAACTAAAAACCTGTCAATATTAGAAACATAACAAAATATCAATCCTTAAAGCCTAAGACAAAACTGAAGATTGATCTTGAATTGTTGCGAGTTTATTCTGTGTGTGTATTTGAAGGGCAATGAAAGAAACTCGTTATAATTTATTTAATTACTTGTCTTTATTATAACATTTACTATAATTTCTTCAATAAATTTTCTCATATGATAATAGTACATTTTCATCATCCTCTCTTTAGATATATAATATGTTACGATTTTAACATTGTGTTACAAGGGTTTTTTTTTCTTTCTGTTCAATCATTTTTTTTTGTATTGAATGCGTTTCACATGTTTGTCTTTGTGAAATTTGTAGGTTTACAGTAAAGTTAATCGTTACGGAGATTTCTCAAAGGTACATTAGAAAAGAAGATGAGTGATTATTGTTTAATTTCTCAATTGTTATGTACCACTTATGGCATAAAATTTCTTCCTGCACTTGAACATTTCTAATAACCGAATGCTTTTTATTCTCATGAAATTAATACATTTTGCATCTATTATGGTCAATTCATTCTAATTCCATTTAGAAATTCACGGTGGACACAACAACCAGAAAAGTGTAAAAATAAGTTATCTATTGTTGTTAACTGTCTACAAAAACTATATGTTACAACGTTCATTATAACAAATGTCAACAAACTCAAATGATGCTCAACGCTTCTATAATATAGTTTTGTTAATTTTTGTATTTTTAAAATACTGATTACACGTCTCTTTTGATTCTTTGATTTTATCATATCCATTTTTTTTTAAATTATCCTCTACACATTAGTCATTTTCAATAAGAAAAAAACATTAGTCTTTTTGGCAACTTTTCATCTTATGATTGTTTTTTTTTGGTTTTCTTCCACAAAATAACACAATAAATTTTTTTTTCAATTTTACCTGGTGGCAAATCAATAAATGTTCATTTCTTTCTGAATACCGATGTGGAGATGCTTGAAAAATACTTGTTCAGTGTGTCGCAGCTGGAAATACTTTGAATATTCTTCTTTCTACACTTGTTATCATGAATTCAAGTACAAAGACCACTTAAACGGTAAATGAATGTGATTCCTTACTAGTTGAATAGAAAATAATGCTCTAATTGCGGTGGTGAATTAAAATTAAGGTTGTAATTTGTTAACTTTACATTACATTTAAGTAAATTTTGCTTCTCTGCTGATCGTAAAGATGGAAAAAATTCTTCTCTTAGTAAGCTGTTACCTTAATTCAATGTGTCTCAAGTTTGTCGCATGTTGTGTCGTTAAACCTAATGAGAGGTTGACACTTTTGACAATCCTTTCATCTGTTACTCTTCAAAATTGTATCATTTTTCTTGCTTTCCTAATATATTTCCTAATTTTTTTGTGTATATTGTATTTAATTTTTTTTTCTAACTCACTTTTCATTTTCATTATATTATCGAATAACTTTTGTCATTGGTTTTCTTTTGTCTACACACATTTAAATTACTTTTTTTCTGTTCACTAGTCATTTTATTTTGTATTACATATTTCTTTTTTTTTCTTTATTAAACTGTATTTTTTACTTTATATAGGCAAGATCTATTAAATGTCTTAGAGTTAAGTTATGACTGGGACATTTTTTCCATAGAAAAGAACTGAACGATTTATGAAGATCTTGACACAAAGATGGATTTTCCGTTAAGTAAAAAATCTTCCGCTAGATTAATTATGTCTGAAAACACCATTGAAATGACAGTTGATTGTGTTGGGAAATTAAATGAACTCTCAAATGCTACGGGATTGAATTTGACGAAGAGATGAAACAAAAGTCCATCATATTTTTTTTCTCTCTCTATTTTCAAGTTTTCCAAAAGAGTTTTTTCACTCGTTCTATAATCTAATAGTATTGCTTGAGAATTGTTCGGTTTTGTGATCTAATTTTTTTTATTTTTTGTCTTTTCCACTTAATTGTCGGAAAGTCGCCCATGAAGAAATCTCGAAATTAGTGCTCTTCAGATATCCTAACACTCTTTCGCAGACACAGCAAAAGTTGGTTTTTTGTCATAAGTTTTGAGACACACCCGGCGGGTAAGTTTAAGTTTTTCTCTTCTTTAATCCTAATATTCTTCACTCGCAATTTATTTTACGACTATTTTGTTAAAATCTGTATTTTTTTTTCTACCTATAGAGAATTACAAGAAATGTTCTCGTTACAATTCAAAGAATACGTTTTCTTTTTTTCTGTGGATATTTTCCGTTGAAATATCCATTTTTTTTGTATTTTTGGAAAATACCTTTTTTTGGTTTAACCGTTTCACATACCATTCTTGATCTCTTTCCACTATCAATTTCTCGTTTTTTAACCCTAATTTTTATGCCTAAATCATTTCCAATTTTATTATATTTCCAATTGTTTCTCCTATAGTAAACTTTTTTCTATCTTGAAGTTCTTTTTTATTAATCATTTCCTATAGTTTGATTATATTATAGAGACTTTGCAGCGGTATTTCACTTCTTCATCATACTAATTCTAACCATATTAGTTCGACTCTGTCGCATTTCCCTTTCCATTTTTTAATGTTTTATATTTGATTCACAGTAAATGAGCTGTTTTTACTTTTACCTTAAACACTTTGTCTCATAAATTTACACTTACTTCGCAACTTTTTTTTTGACTTTTGACTTTTAATACTTTTTTTTTCTTGGAAAACAAAAGAAAGAATTCAGAAATATATTTTCTATTCGACGAAAACAAGATTAAAAGTAAAATGCCGAGAATATTGCTAAAGAATTTCATTTTGAATAATGTCTTTATTTTACAGTTTGGTCGCTTTAGCAATTTTAGAGGAAAAGAAAAATCAAAATACCGAATTTCGTTTCCGCAAGTAGCAAAACATTTCATTTAAGGCACACACATAAATTTTTTCTAGTCTGTTCTAAAAAAATTTTTCATATAAATGAACACAATGAGAAAGAAACATTAAAATAATGAAATACTTTAGCCAAATTCCCAGCGCCAAATTTCAAAGGGAAATAGAAAATATATTGGAAAAAAGTACGAAAAAGGACAGTCTTATTAAAATATACACGATCTTTGAAATTTTCTCAATTGTAATTGATTTGAAAATTTTGCAATCTCTAGGCCAAAAATTCACTTACACTTATTAATTGTTTTCCATAATTTTCAAAAGTCGCTCATGCAATGATTATTTAATAATTTCTCCTTAATCCTATTTACAATTTATGGCAGTTTAGTTCGTCTAAGAAGAACAAACATACAAACAGTAGAAATAAAGTCGTTAAGAAAAAATTGTTCTTGCTTAATGTCTCTTAAAAATTATAAATGGTTCACCATTTCTGTTCCTGTCTCAAGTTTTCAAGCTGCATCTTTAAAAAATATTCCCATTATCTTGGATAATAGTTTCTCTCTCTCTCTACAATTTACTAATAGACCTCATCGAAAATATATTCCTCAAAATAATCTCTTTATAGAATTTTAAATTCTCACTTCAACAGGAATTCTCTAACGTGCTCTAGACTGGCGGAAAAGTATAATAACAAAGTGATTTTTAACACTTCAAGTAGCTTTTATATATCATCTATATATATTCTTACTCTTTTTTCACCACAAATCAATTAAAAATTCCCTCTTTCCACCTTCTTTGTTCTCAACAAAATCGCTTAAATTCTGTGAGTCACTAAAAAACACTTTTGATTGAAATTGATTTCTTCAATATTTTTTTTTCTTAGCTAAAAATACTCTCATCGCCACTATAAAGGTTTCACTTTACTCCTCTCTCTTTTTGTATTTTACTGTTTCATATTTGTCTTTGGTAAGGATAAGAACTTGTGTAGCTAATCACTTTTCCACGTGAATGTGAATTTCTTTTGCTAATTTTAAGTAAAATCTAGAATTGAATTTATTTCATAATGATAAACACGACATTCAAATTTTTTCTCCACTATTTCTTTTTTTTATCTTGTCTCTCTCACTAATTATGCTTAAGAGTAGATTGTGATGACTTCTCGGCCACCACCACGAACCATCAGCACTCTCTCGAGGCCTTCAGTAAGCACTTCCAAGAACTCCATATCTGCAAAGGACACGCATACATTTACCAATGCATTATTAATGCTCGCGTGAAACTTGAGCAGACGCTGATGAGGATAATCTTCTGGGTCAAATAAAGTGTTTACTTTGTGGATACTAAACGAAACGGACATTAAAGAAAATGCACGAAGACCTTCCTTCATGATCACACAGAGAATGACTGGAAAATAAATGTTCAATTGCGTGAAGTGTTGAATGACTCAACATTTGCACTGTTTTGTTCACATTTGTTGGTGACACAACATTAAGATTTACGATACTCCGCGCAATATTTGCAGTTAATTTCAACATGACCGAATTGGAAGCAATTGCAGCAATCAGAATTATCAGTACAATGTGTTCTTTCTACTTACAATTGCTCTCTCGCTCGATGCGAGTATCCTTTGGAGGACCAGGTAGATTCAAGATAACCAATTGAGCATCATGCGATTTATTGACGATGACTTCGTTCAATTTCACAGCCGTGTGCATCCTTCGCACGTTTCCTTCGTCTCTGCAGGATAAAAAATCACACACACACAATGAGTTCCAGCGGATAAACGCCTGAAAGTCATCAGCGTCACTTACGGTTTAATACTGGGCTTTGATTTCTCAGGTGACTTCTGGTCATGTGATGCCTTCTCGTCTGCTCCGGAGGTCGTGTCATCGTCGTCGTCCTTCTTTATGCTATTCGCCGGAGACGACGCAGATTTCGTGGCGGACGCGCCACTTGATTTATCACCACCCTTCTCATTCTCCTCCGTGGACTCCTTTGTGTCCTGCTCCTTCTCCGAATCCTATGGAGGGCATGCGAAGAAGGAGAATATATATTTTAGGACTTTATGATGCGAAAAGTGGGCCAAAACTCACATCATCGTGATGATCCTCATTGTGGTCGCTCTCATTGAAGATATCGTCACTCTTGTGCTCAGTTGAATCAGCAAAGCGCACTTTCGTCGCCGACTTCACCTGATCATGCGGATGATGATGGTCCACAATGGCTTGCACCTGAAAAACGGAGTCATGCCCATCAAGTTCATAGAAACGCCCGCTTCGCCGCCACACGCAACGTGGTAGAGTAAAAAAATACAACAGAGAAGTAAATAAAAAGCTAAAAGCTTCTGGGTTTTAGAAGATGGTCCTAAATTTTTGTTTTAGTTGTGTTTAATTTATTTGGAGGCTTTTTTGGAAATCTTTTTTTTTTGGTTCTTTAATTTGCTTCTTTTTATCTTTTGCGCTATAAGTGTGTAATGATCCTAGAGGTAAAACTCAAAAGGTAAAAGCTCTTGCAGAGTATGTTGATTGCAAATGGACATCACATGCTGTAAATTGAGTATGACAAGTACTGAGCGGGGCGTTTTTGCAAGTAAAACAACAGCGAGAAAGGAAAATAGCTTGTCCATCTGAGTACAAACATGCAAATACTCATCCACAGTATTTATGCATGATGTATGATATGGGTGAAATCAACATACAGAATGACTGACAGCGATAAATGATTGTATGCATGTTGAGGATGATAAAACTGCTCTCGTGATAAAATTCTATTTTCCCATTCATTCATTTGTGGTGAATTTATGAGTCGTTTCGCGCCCATAAATAATCACAGAATGGACGAATTCAAATATTAGCTACACGAGCTTTAAACTACACGAAAGCTCCACTTTTTTCCATTACAGTGAGACTTGCATTTAAAGAAGCTCTAGAAGTACGAGAAGATGATCAAAGGGTTATCGAGGAACATCTTTAAAAACTGACATAATAAAGATTTTCGCGAGTATTTTTATAAAATTTATATAATTGTCTACATAACAAATATTTGACAAGAAAATCTGTCTAAGTTCGAAAACCTAATTCACTGGTTTATTTTTTATAACTAATAAAAGCCTGAAATATTTGAAATATGAGTTAAATTTACTTCTTATGTGAAAACATGCCTTTTCAATCATTCTCCTAAGATCAATTGAAAAAATAATAATAATTCACAATGAAAGAGCACAGAATGAAAGTATGTGAATGACTTCAATGAGGTGCTGATCGAAACCACGGCAAAATGACGGAAAGAAGATTTAGAAAAATCACTATCTAGAGTTGATTCTAAAAAGGGAAAAATCAAGAGAATGCGTCATAAAATTGATCTTGATCATAGACAAAAGGGTGAAAAAATCTTTGCACAAAATTGAAAATAAAAAACTTTGTAAAGGAAGGTGTGAAAATAAAACGGGGTTAGGCAGTCTAGCCGGTTTGTTGGTGTGTGCTTTACCAGAGGCAATTTATCCTCGCCGGTGCTTTCGCTGAAATCCACCAAAGATTGTACCTTCACCGTTCAAAGTGGGGGGAAATTAAGAAAATTTGAGTGTTTGCTCTGTTCTTCTCAATGACAGAATTACAATTAGAAATACAACAGCATAAATATCTTACACAGGAATAAATAATAAAATTGTTTTGCTCTTGAATTTCTACAAAAAAGCTGTAGAAGATTCTTCATCATCGTCATGAGTGAAGATGTGACATTTTTCTTCTTTTTTTGCATTGTCTTCACGTGACGACAATTCTTCTTTTCTTTTTTGTTACATTTCACAACATCAGACAAAATGTACATATTTTGAAGGATGGATAGAATGTGAAACATCACTCACCACGCCAAGGGATTCTTTCTTGTTCAAGCGCAACTCGCGCAACATTTGGTTCCGCTGCTCCATCATCAGGGTCCTCTCGTATGTGTACGCAGAGATGTCACTGTCCATCTGCAATGCGCAAACACTCGTGAAAGAGCCTCTTCAGCTGCACACGCCGCTCGAGGGGCCACTCACCATCTCGACCACTTCCACTTCCGCCTCTATGCGCAAGTGATAGAGGAACATCTTGAGGTCCTTCTTCAGCTGAATGGAGTTGTCCTCCATCTGTGCTACAGTGAAGATCCTCAATTTGCAGTTACGCCACGTGCGGTGCTGCTTGAGCAGGAAGGGCAGCAGCATCAACAGGCCGCCATCGTGGACAATCCACCAGATGTCGATGTTGCCGTAGATCTTCTCAGTGGACTCGGGGAAGAAGTTGATGCCCTTCGGCACGAGCAGCGCCATCTTGGCGTTGGACGCCACGCGGACGGTCTGCAGGAAGCCCTGCCACGTGCGCGCGTCCTCACTCTGGCGCCAACTGTACGGCCAGCCCAGGATCACCGTGTTGGGCTTCATCCCGCCCAGGCCGATGGTCTGGACACTGCAACGAACGGACAAGGGTGACCGGCTATTTCGTGATGAGACAAATTATGTGGCTTACATGTGACAGAGTCCATCGACGGTGTTCTTGGCTATCAGGACGTCGCAGAATCCCTTCACCTTCTCCTCCTCCATGATCTTCTTGAGGCTCTGCTTGGCTGCCGTGGCTTCGCCGCTGTTCTTCGTGAAGTCGCCAGGCATCACGGACACACAAATGGCCAGGCCCTTGCCTGCCTTCAGCTGCGACGCAAAGGACAGCAGCTTCCTGTACTTGGGCGTGAGTTCGGTAGTCAGCTTGGCCAGAATGAGAATCTGCGGGCGCCAGTTCTTCGTGTGCGGCTCGCCCTCTTCCAGGCGCAGCATCGCATAGCGCGCATTCGTGAGGGACATTCCGCGGATGCCGTCGCCCCACTCCTTCTCGGCGCTGCGGAGGAAAACATTCCCACATTTAATCTCCCGATGAAGTCAAGCATGGTCAATTTCTCATTATCCGCACATTTCTGTTTGAATAAACGCGCGCGCTTCTGGATGGGAAATTGGATATGAATTTCCATGGCAATTCCAGAAGTATCGAAAATATTTGTGGAGTATAAAATTCAATTAAAATGCATGGAATTGCTCAAATCCTGCCTTTATCTTCCAAATACATATAATGCTGGAGAACACATAAATTTATAGATTGAATTGTCTTTAAGCACATTGAAATTGCAATTCAATTGAATCAGCGCACAAGTTTTTTTCCTGGAATTTGTGAGTAAAATTGCATTTTTGCTGGAATTTGTGCTACAATATCTGAATTTTATGAATAATATTCCACAACTGAGAGTGATTATAAAAGTTTTCGTGAAGCTTTTGTCATTCTCTAAGCCCAAGATTTTCTCACTAGAGATTATCTTTGTTTTTCCTCGCCTAATCACTAAATCTTCCACCGCCTGTAATATGGATATTGGAATGCTGGAAGCATATTTGCTAAATGTAATAATAGCGACTGACGAGGGAAGCCAATGATTGTCTGGATTCTCATTAATCACGTCGTCTCTGGGCTTGTTTTAAACTTAAAGTGCTTTATTATTCCGCGCTCTCCCGACATTTTTTCCGTCCCTCGTCCAGAAAAGCCACCCTCAAAAAGCCCAACCAACTTTTTCTGCGCTCTCATTAAAGTAAATTATTAATTTGCCCACACTCTAGCTCATGGCTTTGCACAGTACACAAATTTTATGCATGAAACATCAAGTTCATGGAATATTCACGCGAGTGATGGGCATGATTTTTCATTGGGGAGCGCCGCACTGCTCGGGTAATCAAAAGAGTTTTCCTCCACAAGTCCCTCGAGTGTGACAATATTTGTACGTCGAGTGTGGGAACTTAAGAGGGGAAACGAAACCAGAACATCTACTATTCATGGGTCTCTCAATGTGCCATCCTTGTGTGCACCTGACAGAGAAATCGTCTGAATTTTTAACAGATTTTCAGTTGCCAACAATCGCTTATTGATCAAAAATACGTAGCGAAATGCACACAATTCAAAGTTCAAATCGAGCATCACCACACACATACCCAAGTTCGAATAACGAAGAGATAATTTATCTATAAGAAACTTTTCTAAGAATTGTTGTGACACAGCCTGAAAATTTCCTGGAACTGCTGATCAGGACGCCAAGAATTGTTTTTCCACTTCATCCTCCGCTTTTTGTCTTTGAAACACATCGCATTGTGTCATGTTAAGCTGAAGTATTTTCGTGATGTTGTATTAAAGTTTTTCATCACATTGGCTTTTGCGGGTTAATTAAGGAAGATTAGCAGGTTGATGTATTAAATAGAGAAGCAGAGCTTATTATGGTTTATTTTGCTGAAATTCATTTTCCTTTCCAGGAAAATTGGTAAGTCCTATTTGAAGATTTTTGTTCAGTCATCTATTTTATCTATTGTCAATTTCAGTCATCTATTGACTCATAATTTACTGTCGAAAATTAGGGATTCTCTCCCTTTCTGCTCTCTTTCGTCTTTAGTTTGACTTTCTGTTCAGAAAGAAAATGCAGAAAGTATGGAGAAATCTAAAAATGTGCCCGGGAAACTGCTGGAAAATATAATTCCTTTTGGCTCAAGTGGAAGTTTAGCAGTAAATTTGATTCATTTGACTTACGAAGTGATTCTGACACTGAGAAACCGCAATCGCTTAAGTGAGACAAATAGCTTTTCTTGGCACAAGAGCCTTCGAAAGTTCTGCGCTGTGGCGAAGAGAGTGTCTCCGCCTTGGTACTCACCCTCTGTACTCGATGTACTTGTAGATGAGCACGGCCATGCCCATGGCGATGAGGGCGAAGTACCACGACGTCATGAACATGACGGAGATGCAGAGGAAGAGCCCGATGAAGGACAGCGACCAGTGGTAGTACTTGAAGCGCGGCCGCCAGTTGGGCGTCCGCAGGATGGTCTGGAGGAAGCAGGCCAAGTTGACGAAGCCGTAGCACATGAGGAAGAACATGGAGAGCAGCGGTGCCAGATAGTCGACGTTGCCCAGCAGAATGCCGCACTGGCAGATGCAGACGGTGAGAATGAGGGCACGGGTGGGTTCGCCGCGACTCGACGACACGGAGAACGGCGCCAGGAAGGGGATGATGCTGTCGCGGGCGATGGCCTGCAGCAATCGCGGCGCGCCCGTGAGACTCTGCAGACCAGCACCGAGGGTGGACAGGAAGGAGCCGATGAGGATGACCCACTGGTTGGGCCACGCCATGTTCGCCACCACCAACTTTCCACCTATTGACTGCCCGAATCTGGCACGCGGAAGAGAGAGAGAGAGAGAGTCGCGGATTAGTGAATTCGGTCGCGATAGCGCACATTCATCACAGCCATTGTCGCCGGGAATACTGACTTGTCGCGCAGCAGGAGATTATCCACCGTTCCGGCGAACAAAAGGACACACGACAGATAGACGATGCTGGTCGTCAGGATGGCACAAATTGTTCCGATGGGAATGCTCTTTTGGGCATCGGCCAAATCGCCAGATCGATTTGATCCGGCCATTATACCTGAGAAAGGAAGCGAGCATGAGTGAAAATTGCATGTTGAATGGCTTTATAATTTGTCCCAATTGTGGCTCATCGGGTGTGATGAAAAGGGTTTGAGGTTTGCAAATAGGTAAACACCCACAATATTTATTATCAAATATATGGCAAAAATATTTGTAGTGCTTAAACATGATGAAAATTAAATTTTGCAAATATTTAGCTATTTATGACATCCCTCTTAGGGCTTCATTATGTTCCTCGCAAACCCTGTGAAAATGAGTACAGTAGTGGCAGAATAAATAGCATCACGAAACTTGCACGGAGAAAATTTTTATGGTGTCACTGTGAAAATTGTCATCTTGAAGCTCTTGAAGTGTGAAAGTTAGAAATTTTTCAACTTATAGTAACTGAAAGTGTATTTTATGCTATATTTTACGACACTGAGCAATATATTTCGCTATTGTTCCAAAACCCTTTATAGCACTCCTGATCCTCTTCCTCACATCATTAAGCATAATATTTACCGCATGGTCACGGATCTCACCGTAAACCACACGCCTTTATGGGGGCGAATTTTACGACACCGCCTGACTGCTCGGGATAAGGAGGCGGCGCCAAGGGAGACACTCACCAGTGACGGACGGAAAGAAGATGCCGATTAGAATGGTGAACGAAGTCGTGATGTCTGCGTAGACTTGATTGAAAGACGGCTTTCCGAGCTGCTCCACATCGCCAGGATTGTGCCCATAGGTGATGTATTGCCCCTCCTCGAGGAACGACGGCAGGATGTTCTCGAAGAACACACCACTGGCCAGTCCTCGGATGCCACGCACGATTGATATATTGTGACTCAAGAAGTACGGATCGCACGGTTGCTCAGCACAGAAGAGATTCCACAGCTGCCCACCTTCTTCCTGCGTACAATTCTCAACGGCAATATCCTTCAGCAGACGCTTGCCCAAGACGCACATGCTGCAGGCGAGAGAGAAATATCATGACAGTTTTTGTGAAAGATTACACCCACATCTATCAGAGTGTGTCTCTCTTTGTGCGGCCTGGTGATTACTCTGCGGGTCGCAGAGTCACCACGACATTCCACTAAAATCTTCCTATTTCCGAGAGAAAATCAAGCCAAATTGTGTATTGCAGCACTTTTGGCTGTTATTTATCCCCTATTTTTTCGCTATCTTTCACCAAAAAAAATCACGATGAATCAGAAATTTTATAGATTTCCAGGAAAAGTCTGACATAAGAAAGGATTCTTTCGACTCTGCTTTATCGCTGATGAATCTTGCAGGAATTTTTCAATGGGCACTCAAAGCACAATAGGACTCTAGTGGGATGTCGCTGCAGAGCCACACTGTTGACACAGAGAGACAAAGAGTGGAAGGATGAGCAAGGTGTAAAGGTGTTATGAATAAATCGGCAACAATAAACAAAAGGACGGTGAGATCTGGACGGTGCAGACGTGAGAGTGTGTATAAAATTAAATTCCTATTGCCTATGTTGCCCTACTGTAGCTTGTCGTTGCCATGGATGTTGTCAAAGATGCCCGCGTAGACGGCAATTATGGAGAAGATGACACAGGCCAGAGCCACTGATGCGAATTTATTTACAAACTTCACTCCGATGAACACGATTGTACCTAAAAGAGAGAGAGAGAGAGAGAGTGTGAGAAAAAAAGGATAGAGATTTCGAGAGGATTTACATTGACACTCTTGAGAAAAATCCCATCCTCGTAATCACTATTGAATTACTCACCCATGATAAGCAGGAGAAATGTGCCGTACACCCGGAAATTATTGTACATCGCCGAGGCGTCCTTTGTGAAATCACCGAAGATTGATAGCCACGGAGCCATGTAGGTCTGTTCATGGGGATAAAGAGGGCCGTGGGTAAATTGGAGTATTTCTTCATTGATTGCGTCTTGTCATACATCCTAGCCGACCGAGCACAATTGCCTCAACGCACCCTCCGGGATATTTGGTCAAGTTCATGTTATGAGTCCCCGAGAAATGCCATAACAGTAAAAGGCAATAGTGCCGAGGCGATAGCAACAATTTAGTCCACACAAAGTCCATTTCAGTGGGTCTTATTGTTCCGAAAAGCGATAAGAAAGGGAGAAAAGCATGCTTGCAGGACCTTAACAGCCTTGCCTTCTCAATATTTCTGCAGTTTGGATTCCCAGAAGCTTGCAATCACCTAAGAGAACTTACTCTATTTCACAAATTTCAACATCAAATCATTGAAACATTATCAAAAATTTAAGAAAACCTCGGAAGATGTATTAAGAAATTCGCAAAAGAGCTCTTAAAAATCTTAAAAGTTTACAACGTTCGTTGATTTCTATGCTCACTCAACAGAAACTCACTAACAATAAAGTTTGTGGTGTGTTTATTTCCCTGGCAACAATTGTTGTAGGCATTTTCAAATCAAGGCTGGGTGTTTTGGATTGATGGACGGTTTCGGCGAACCCTTTTTATACTCAGATAATGACTTTATAAGAAGCGTGTTTTCTGCATAGACTCACATCCCTTTTCATAACAATTGCGAGCATCAAAAGCTCATATCTTTCACGTTATTCGTGGAAAAGGTTGCTCACAACTTATTCTCATAACATATATAATACAAGGTGGAATGTTTCCTGATGATTATCATATTTCCCACCCATGCAAACACTCTCCTCCACGTGCAGAGAGCGTCTTGAGGCAACTCACCAGAACAATTTCCACCGCGCCCACGATGTACATGGCAGCTGCTAGCGTTGTTCCCGTGTAAAACAGCATCCCGACGGCGCCACCGAATTCTGGGCCCAGTGACCTGCGTGGGTGAAATTCATTCCATCATTTTGCGCTACGTTTTTGCTGTACGCTTTTTTATCCCTACCGTGAGATCATGAAATAACTGCCACCAGCCGGTACGACACCATTTGTCGCAATTGCAGACATCGAAATTGCTGTCAACATAGTCTGCAAAAGAGACAAAGTTATCCGAAAATGCGACCAGAGGCTTAATTTGGCAGTGGCCGAGAGGGAGATAATGTGGCCAGAGGTGGTGTACAGTTCAGCAGATGTATTAGAATGTGAATTTGAATATATTAAATAGTTTAATCATAGAAATCTATTCATTAAAATAGAAATTCTTGTATTTCAAATGCAATTTTTCCGAATTGCAATAAAATTGCGCATTTAAACTAAGTAAAAATCCCAATTCTGGAAGCTGAGTAGAGAAAAACAGCAATAAAGTCAGACATAACCTCAAATTACTCACCCAACAGCTGTGATTCTAAACTAGAAAGATTCTAATAAAGATTTTGTAAAATTGTAAAATGAAAAATATTGTCTGAAATCCTCAGTTTTTAAGTTGTAACTTAGATTTCAGTCAGTTTTCAGTTGATTTTCAGGGTGATAAAACCCAAAAATATACAGCAAATGTTGCTGAATATCGTTGATTTCAATCTCATTTATCACAATTTTGTAAGAAAGCAGTTTAAGCAAATCATGGAAGTGTCAGGATTGTGGTGTACAGATTTCGGCCATATTATCACCCCCTTGGCAGTTGATTGGTATCAGTGGCTGGTACACACCACACAGCAGCATGTCAGAACGATGAGGAATCCAAAAATAGCACCCGCCGTCCCCACAACCCATGTTAGACGAATAAAAAGGATGACACCGAAAATGTTCTGGATACAAGGGAGATACACGCCAATCAGTGTGCCTGAAAAACACAGGTAGAATGAATTGACATGCTTCATAAAAGAATCATACTCGAGTGGCGGAGACCCGAGTTCGATGGGCAATAAATCATGAAATCAGCTCAGCATTAAAATGTCCCCCAAGAAATATTCCCGCACAATTGCTTACAAGAAAAGAAAAAGGCAAAAGAACGAGAAGAACTCTCAATTTGGTGAATTGAATTGAACATTTTGTCACTGAAATTGTTTCTGTGCGTATTGATAAAGCATTCTCACTCTGTCGTGATGTTTTCATCTTTTACTACCGCAGCAATTTTATTCCTTTCCCCATATCATGAAAATGCACAATAAAGCTTACGATTAATAACCTCAAGAACGGTATGAGAGGTATAAAAGGTGAAAATAAAAGTATTATACTCATTAACATTTTGCAATATAATGTAATAATAAATTAAACAGACAACAGACGTCACATTAATTTTACATTTACCACGAAATATGTAAGGTCATTAATGTCACAAGTATTTGTAGTCAATTGACCAATAAATTGCCAATATCATTTTCTCTGTTCGGGATGACAATCAAAATTATTATTCTGTAAAAATCAATGTTGTGGCAAATGATTGGAAAATGACAATGTTAAATTTTCAAGCAGATCAAAAGACCCATGAAAAATGCGAATTGTCACATCAATTTTGTGCATAAGCAAGAGAAATGTTGGCAATTATTAAGTACAGTCGCACCTTTGCTAGAAAATTTAATCTATATTTCGGAATATTATATTTGCCACTGTCGTAAATCTAATATTGGAGAAAATGTTTTCGTCATTACATCACATTGATTATAATGGGAAAACCATAAATTCTCCAAAAAATTAATATCCATTTCCTTTTTATGTGGCTCCATTGTGAGACGCAATAGATAGTGAGCATGACCTCAATGAAATTCTCTTGGTCTTTTGCTATGTTTAGCCTATTAATGCGTGATTCAACACATGTGGTGTTGCATATCAAGATTACTTTGGGGCCTAATGCAAATTTCAGACCAAAATGCATAATTAAAGTGGTTAATTTCGTATAATCAAATTATTCACTCCAGAATAACTATCTGCCTATGCAGGTTGCTTATCAAAGGGAAACTCACCCATGCGGGCCGATGGTGGTGGAGGCTTCGAGTCCGCTTCCGATGCAGCTGGAATCGTATTGGAATAATTCGCCAAGGAAGATATAAGTGTTGATATTCGTGGCCTTGTATCAATTTCTTCCTGCAAATTCGTAAGATAAGACAAAGAATTTGAGTAGGAGTGGAAGTTAGTTGTGCATTTAACATGAAATGAGATTCTGTTTAAAATCCTGAAGGTTTATTAATGAGCTTTTGTTGCTACATATTATCTGGATGAGATGTTATAAAGTTCATGCTAAGATTCAGATGGATGCTTTAGGGCATCTTCTCTTCTCCTCGTCAACACAACTTTGCTATTTGCAGCAGATGAAGGATATCCTGGCAGGATTCAAAAGTAGAGAAATCTTGACGATAAGATTATGGAAGATGATTCAAAACAACTGACTCGTCAAACAGTATAATCATCAGATTGTAGAAGCCATTCCAAGTCTCTTCTCTTTACAATTAATGTCCTTCAAAGTTTTTTTTTCTTTCTGACTGTTCTCGGCCAAAATTTCACCTTTAGTATATATTCGTTCAGCTCTGGACAGAATTCTCTCGAATTTTCCAAACGAATGCTACTCACAGGTTTTTTTATAGCATCTTACGGAGCATTAACAATAGCTCTCAATTTGTTATGAATAATAAATTGAGTATTCGTTCGTACGAGAAAGGCAAACGAATACAACGTTTGCCTAATTCTCTTACAGCAGGGATTTTTCAAAGAATTTTCATAAATCCTTCACAGGAATTAAACCGCTCTTCCTAAGTGTTCTCATTGAGAGCTTTTGTGTTCGTTAGAAGTGATGTACTACGCCGCCGATGATGTCCGAAAGAACAAAGAGCCTTTGGACGTAAGAGGGTCAGGGTTTTCAATTTTCCCTCCTTTTTGGTTGGTCCGAACCACGTAATCTGCTCAACACAGGAGAGAACTTTAATACTCTTGTCGATGAACTCATTAATGGGATCACCCAATTAGGAGGAGGTCTCATTAGCACGAAAAGGGGTTTAAATTGAAGGGGTCGGGCGAATGTGTGTATAACTTGAATTGGGAGCAAAAGGGAGGCGCAACGGAAAAAAAGAGGATTCGAGAGCATCATCATAAAATCCCTCCTTCGACTGGGTATTTATTGCTTTACCATATAGAAGAAGGTCTAATTCTGCTACCAAAGAGAACTCGTTTTTATTTTCTCATCCCTTTTTTTCTTCTTCTTCTGAATGAAAATGGACTTGGTTCAATGAATTTCAAATAGCAATTTTCCCTCTCTGCGTCCATCTCATTCACCTTTCAACCCAGCAGTGGTTTCACTCGCCATGCAATCGGGGTAAAAGCTCAAGTGACTTTGGGAAAAATCACTATGCTATGGCTATACTCACCGAATATAAATAAAGATTCGTGTCATAGTGTGTTGATTTTTCGTTGTTGGCAACAAAGGGTTGATCATCCGTAGCATCTCCTGCAACAAAGAGAAATCACATCAATTTCCTGGGATTTGAGAGGTGACTTTATGCCAAAAAAAAAGTCATATCATTTTCAATTGATTCCTGTGCAAAGTGTATTGGATAAATTCAATCGATGGAAAATGGAGAGGAGATTGAAGAGAGCACTTCTTCCTTAGTAATAAGACATTTGCCTGTCGATTGGGGAATTAAATGAGAGATTTACGATTATAGTCTGTCAAGAGAACCGTTCGAATATTCCCATTAAACTTTGTAATCTCGACTATTTTCCCTCTATATCTTTCCATTTTCCTCATTTCACATTCAATTTCCCGAATTATTCGCTCAAGAGCACTCAGAATGTCTATTAAATACTTGATTGATTACTTTACACACGGATTATGACGATAGCCTCAAACGATAAACTGACCAACTTCACTTCGAATCCAGAGCATTTCGGCACTGTGACGAATATATTCTTGGGCTAAAGTAGATGTGGTCAGAAAATTAATTTACCATTTATCCCATCCCAGCGCAACTCCTGTCACTTTCACTCCAACGGTCTACTTGTTGGCTTTGTCGCTCAATAAATAATTTCCCTGACAGTCAGTCAACAAAATTCACCATAAAATGCAAAGTGATACTCAATCGACAACCTTCGAGGCGCCAATCGTCAATTGTGATACACGTGCAAAGTTATTTTTGGCCACGCCAAGAGCTTACATGCGAATTGTTTCCAATTATTTTCACCACTGAAGCGTGAAAGTCGCGTCAAAGGAGGGAAAATTATGTCGCGCGGAAAACACTTTTCACAAGGCGTGTCCAAAGGAAGCTAACAATATGAGTCAAAAGCAAGGCCAAGTTGAAAGTTCAGAGGTTGAGTTTATGATACAATCAAATTAACCAATGAAAGCATATTTGATGTATTACAAAGTTATCTTCCTCAAGAATTCTCACGGGCGGACAAATGACGCACTTAACTAGCTGTTTGCGAGAGAAATTACCACAGAAGAAAGTTTTCTGTCCCTGATTTTTCCACCATTTTTCCCATTTCGAACTTCCATTGGCTTGATTGCGGCGAGTGCAAGAGGATGATCAGGTATCCGTGATGACGTCAATGAAATTTTCCCTTAAATCCCAACAAGATTATTTTCCCCCACCAAAATCATGTTCAACATCCAGAGGAACCTCCGTCACGACGTCGAAGTATCTATTTACACCATCTTCCCATGGAAAATCTCAATCAAAATAATACTTTAAATAAACTGGGTCACCGGCGCTCCAAGAATTCACGAAGACTTTAGGGAAAAGGAGTTAATATTTCACAGTTTTCCTTCCAACTTGGAATCGATTTTAGCCCACGGGAAATCTTTTAGAGTTTCGATTGCAAAATAACAGAAAAAAACACACTGAATTTTGATATTTTTCATTCCTCGAGTGGATTTGCAATTTATCGAAGCAATTTTGCTTGCGAAATTGAGACTCAGTTATCTCATATTTAGCTTGAAATTCTTCCCACACCAACACAAGTCTGCCATTTGATATATTCACTCCCAAAACATCCTCGAACATCGCCTATAAATCGTCCTTGTGTGATCCCAAAGTTACTTTATTGATTTTGCAAACTCTTTCTGATAGATTTATGCTCTTCGCAAAATGAACGAAACTCCAGCCAAAATGTGTGTTGTGCTTTTTGCAGAAAACACCTAAATCTGTGTCTCAAAACACCCTAATTTCCGCACAAATACTCCTCAAAATGATCTAATAAACACTTAATTATAGAATTCATCCCCTCAGTGTAACTAATTAAGTGAAAATCGTTAGTAAATGATTAAATGGCACTTTTTCACCTTAAATTGTTCCAGAAAATTCACATAAATTAGTGGATTTGGCAAATCCGACATTGAAATTTATACCAGGAATTTGTTTTCACAAATTTATGTATGTTCCGAGAACGTTTTTTGCATTAATTATCTTTATTTGAAGGTTCATTTAGTAAAATAGGGAAAGAGATGTGCACGAAACTTAATTAAACACCAACGAGTTTCATTATTCGCAAAGGACAATTCTGGGAAATGGTTTGATTTCGTGGAAAATACCTAACAATGTCGACCATTAAGGGTGATTTTCGTTCGTTTGAAAGCCACAAAAAAGTGATGTTATATTTTTCCATTGAAATTTCACCTTTCATTTAGTGAACAATGAATTTATATATGCAAAAAACACCCGGAATTCCAAAAAGCTCTCATGATTGAATGCGAATCAGTACAAATGATGAGACGTATTAAATAATTGAATGGCAAACATCACAACAATTTGTCGCTTTTAACAATACCGAAAAATATACCATTATCTCTGGTATTTTTCCCCCATTTGACAACAATGTCAGAGAGAGAAAAAAAATGTGGTATTTGATGACACAGGAGGGAAAAATAAGCCTCGGGAGATTGCATTTTCCCTCCTCAGTTTCTCTTATTTCGTGGCCAATTGGTGGGAAGAGCCGGAGTGCGAACGCTTGTGGGTGTGATGAGGTCAATTACAAGGGTGGGTCTTGTAAATTTTCCTCTTCTTTCATCTTCCGGTTCCGGCATGTTTCGAGGATGTACCAGATTTTTATCTCCACTGAAGCTCATGGAGCAAATTTTATGAGAGATGAAAATGTTTCGCTTTTGCCAATGATTTGCTGATAATGACAAAAACTCAGTCGGCATGACTTTTGAAGTGTGCGCAATTTCTGTAATTAAATTTGAGGTGGAATATTTTTGCGTTATCAGTAATGAAATTGTTAACATTATGAAACAGAGAAGTGAATATAAATTTTCATTAATTTGTTTCGCACGAGCAAAAAGACAATAAATTTGCATGTTGTGAATTGTAATAAAATATATCGTTCCAAAGCTCTCAAGTGTTTTCTAAAATAGTCTCACCATTTTAATACCGCCAGCAAAGCTCTCGAATCTATACCAGCGGTATAAAAAACCAATATAATCCCCGAGGAAAAATCACAGACACATACAAACCATGCATGACATATTTTTATCCCTGCAAAATACCATTACAAAACACGATGCAACTTTTCCATAATTGGATGGAAATCCCATAAGAATTCTACGAGACGCGCCCCAGCCGAGACGTCCAATGAATAATTTATTATGTAACCGAGCGTAATTTGAAATTTTATATTCGAGAACATTGAAAAATGCAAATTCTCGGCGCGCGCGTGTAAGGGAAAATTGTGGGTGACTTTTGCATTTGAATGCCGGCGCAGAGTTTGCACAATGTTACCTCAGAAAACAATGAAAAAGGGACGAAGAAAGGAAGACATTTTCACATGTATATATTTTCCAATTAGAATTCGAGAGTTTCAACTGCCAATGCAGAGCTTTTGTGTAAAAAGCCATCTGCAATGTAGGGAAAATTTCATGTTTCATGTACCACACAAAAGGGTTTTGCTCTTCAAGTTAAATTTGCGGCAAACCGTTTGTTTTGCCGCTTTGTACACATGTTTGTACAGTCACGGAGTAAGTGTACATTATATTGCGAAGGCAGAGAATTTGGTTGCTTCTGTGTTTTTGAGAAAATCAATAATCATGCATAATAAAAATTTAATTCAAATGTCAATATAGTGTGGATCATATTAAAACAACCAGTAATCCCACTTCACTGGCATAGCCAGAAAATTAATTTACGCAGTCGAGCAGCACAGGCTTTCCGGCGTAATCCTTCGACAAAATCATGCTAATTGAGTGATGATTGAAAGTAATACATATAGACCAAGGGGGAGATATGGTGATCAGAAGATGGTGTACAACTCAGTGGAAATCTTTGGAAGTTAAAGTGAGCAAAACTTATAATATTTGTTTATTAGACTTCCCTCTGATTAGACACTTAGAAAAAATCATAGTAATACTTTTCTACGTTATGTAACAAGTTTTGGACACATTGAGTGAATAATTCGCATTTCAGCACATATATTCTTCCTATGCCTAAGTCGAATTGTAAAGAAATAGCAGAATTAAGGATTTGCATGCGATAAACATTGCTATGCTGGATCCTTGATGCCAAGAAACGGTGTAAATTGTACTAGAGTCAAACATAAGCTCAAAAATAGTAGTTTTTTTTTTTGGTTAATTGAGTTATATTAGGTTTTGGTAAGTTAGCGTGCAAACAATCTAAGAAAGTCCATCTCCCCCTTGATATAGGTATATTAAATGATATTTTTGTGCTCCATTCGCCTTCATTATGGGATTTAGCGCTACTGACGAGATCTTGGCATATTGATGCCGAAATAGTGCCGTGGAGTTTCGCATGGCACAGTATTTGGGATTCAGTGTCACACATTTTAGTAGTTAAGCCATTCACTGGAGGCACGTAAAATCCCACCTCGAGACTCTCCTTCGTACGCCCTTTCAATTTTACATGAGAGGTGGATTTGTCGACTCACACCACAGACACACGTTAATCCGCATCCCAGCGATGATGATGACGATGACGTTGTGTCAAAGGGGAGCAGATCCACCGAGAAGGCGACCCGATGAAATGTAGGTCACCCAGCATTGTCTCTCTCTCTATCTTTGGCAGAGAGAACTGACACACCCTAATCGGAAAATGCCTGAGGCTCGTGGGATTGCCGAAGCCCTAAGATTTCAGCGCCATTCGAGGGGTTCACAGTGCAAACATTTAGTCTGAGAGTCGAGAAAAGTGACTTGCTGGGAGTAGTTAAGGATCATCTTCTTATATTTGCATTTTCGTTTTGCAGAAATCCCCTATTTTGAATCATTCCGAGCGTGAAATTTTTACAAAAAGCAGAGCAAATTCTCGAGTTTTTATTCATAGTTATAGCAGGATTGCCAAAATGAATAGCAAATATCAACTCTATTGTGGGTATTAGAGTAAGTTTCAGTAAGAACCTTGTCTTTCTGCATGTTTCTAGGATTCCCAGTTTTTCACCCCTCAACAACACGACGCTGTGCCACAAATAAGAGGAGATTCGCACTTATTCACCTTCTTCTTCAAC